ATCAAGATCAAAGATCGCTACACCAGCCCTAAGGAGCTCATCCCAGCGAGGGATCTCACTAGCCCCGGGGAACTGCTGACGCCAAGCGTCCGTGAGGCGGCCAAAGCAGCGCTGGGTGGAGTGGGCACCCCCACACTGCTCACCCGTGCGGTCGCCGGAACGAAGAACGTAGGCGCAGGGACCAGTACCCCCACCCCTCTGACGCGCAGCGTACCACTCACGAAGCTGCTGAGGCGGAGGGATGTCCCGCGAACGCTGCTGCTGCTGCCGCTGCGAGCGCTGGGCACCACCACCGCCGCTCCGCTGCTGGGTACCACCACGACCAGCTCCACCTCCTCCACCACCACCGCCTCCTCCGCCGCCGCCTCCACTGCCTCCACCTCCACCGCCTCCGCTCCCGCTGCTGCCTCCACCACCACCGCTGGCACTACCACTACCGTCTCCGCCGCTGCTGCCACCACCACCACCACCACCACCAGTACTCCCGCCACCACCCCCACTCCCTCCGCCGCCTCCGCCGCCACCGCCACCGCCCCCTCCAGCTCCGCCCGCGCCCTTGCCCCCCTTGCCCTTGCTAGAGCGACGTCTCCCACTAGGGGCAGACGCCGCGCCGACCGACTCAAGACCAAGCAGGTCGGCCGCAGCAGCAGAGGCAACAGAGGGCAGCAAGGGGGAAGGAGAGCACCCCTCAAAGATGGGGGTGCGAGGGTCACCACGAGAGGCACCTACAGCGACTATGCTCTTCTCCGCTGCGAGGAGGGCCTTCTCGAGGAGGTCGACGGTGAGAGTGGTGGGACAGACTGCGAGAAAGTGGTCCCTGACTACGCGGAGGGAGTCAGGGAGGCGCGCGACTACGTAGTAGAGAGTGATGTACATGGGGGGGGGGTTCTTAGCGCAGAACTCAGCAGGAAGGGCGGCGCGGTAGCGAGTGTCACTAGTGCGGAGGTGCGTAATGAGGTCAGTGACAGTGGGAAAGACAGAGAGGTCAGGAAAGAGGTAGGGAAGCATGAGACGGCTCAGTGCAGCAGTGGCAGGGGAGGAGTAGCGCGCAACTACAGCGTCGTACAAGGTCTGAGCACTCTTGTACTGACTAAAGTGCGCACGCTCAGAGGTAGGGAGGTGGCGACGCACAGCAAGACGTGCAGCAGCATCGCGGGTGGCCCACTGAGAGCGGACAGTGGGATCAGCATCGGCAGCAGGAGCAGGAGAGGCGCCAGAGGTGAGGTCAAAGAGAGAAAGGCTGTCAGCTCTGTCGCACTGTAAGAAAAGCTGCAGGTCGTCTAGCCAGACCTCAAAATCAATGGCTCGACCCTCGGCGTCAAAGGCTAGGACACTAGGGGTGGCCATGATGACGACAGCGAAGCAGTGCAAGCAGTAGGGAAAGAGGGCGCAGTGACAGAGGGACTGTGCTCACCAGGCAGGGCAAGTCGTGCAGCTCAGCAGAAAGGCGGATCGACTCCCGGGCAGCTCGGCAGCTGTGGGGCGGCTCGGGTGCTGCTGGGCGGTCCGGCTGCTGCTGGGCGGCTCGGCTGCTGCTGGGCGGCTCGGCTGCGGCTGGGCGGTCCGGCTGCTGCTGGGCGGCTCGGCTGCTGCTGGGCGGTCCGGCTGCTGCTGGGCGGCTCGGCTACTGCTGGGCGGCTCGGCTGCTGCTGGGCGGGCCGGCTGCAGTGCAGCGGCGGGGCCTGGACAGAGGCCGGCGGGGCCGGGACAGGTGCAGTGGCGGGCCGGGAAAGGTGCAGCGGCGGGCCGGGACAGGTGTAGCGGTGGGTCGGGACAGGGGACGGCGGGGCCGGGTGTGCAGTGGCGGGGCCGTCAGGGTGCAGCGGCGGGCCGTCAGCAGGTACAGCGGCGGGCCGTCAGGGTGCAGCGGCGGGCCGTCAAAAGGTGCAGCGGCGGGCCGTCAGGGCTCAGCGGCGGGCCGGGAAGGTGCAGCGGCGAGGCCGGGAGAGGGGACGGCGGGGCCGTGACAGGAAACGGCGGGGCCGGCAGAATGCAGCGGCGGGCCGTCAAAAAAGGGACGGCGGGGCCGTCAAAAACGGGGCCCGCGGCCGCGACGAAGCGGCCGCGTGGCCGATTCGAGGGCGGCGGGGCACAGCCGGGCCGAGGGGGCGGCGCGGCGCGGCCGTAAAGCCCGCGCGACGTGGGCCCGAGCCGCGCGCGCTAAAAAAAAATTTCGCGCGCTACTCGCGGGGGGGCCCACAAAGGCAGCGGGAAATGCACTAAGGGGGGAGGGGGGGAGCGCGCCTCGGGGAGAGTAGGGCGCTCCGGGCAGAGAGAATATCGAGGGTGGGCCCAAAAAAAATCGGTCCTTAAGAGGGACCCGCTCTATACCATGTGAAGATAGGTAGACAGGAATGAAATGACTAAGTCAGAAATTGGTACAAATGGGAAACCTAATTGTGTTGTACCCCTTATGGGATACCCCACTGTAGCCTACACAAACAGGTAAGCTATATGTTCTGACACCTTGGCCCTCCATGCCTGACATTACGCGTCCGAAAAAAACGAAACGAGGGGGAGCGAAAAACACGGAACCTGTTTTACGCACCCAAAATCGATGTTTAACTGCGTCGCCTCCGCGGTTTTTTATGACTCGGTTTTAGCGGTCGATAACCTTTCGCGTGTAAACGGGCTCTGATTACCAATTGTGAGGATCTAGGATCGAGCTCAGAAAATAGGATGTGAATTGAATGATCACCTGGGTACAACACGAGGCTCATATATAGGCTCGACACAAGTCCTACTAACCAGGTGTTACGCGAATGTTCCGCGGGTCGCGAAGCGTCCTGAACAAATCCTTCCCGAATTCGGTAAAAGGCAATTCGGTGGGAACCGAAAAGCCCAGAATTCGGTGCACGCAACCTAGCTCGGTGCTATAACTATAATAAAATATAGGAAAGCACCTAGCCTAGGAAATCAAGCATTTCATGCATGGATATAATCATCCTATGCTAGAAATAGCATAATAAAGTAAAGGCAAGCAAGCATAGCTGGCATAAGCCGTTGTACTCTCACACATTCGCTCTTGCGGTGTCCCGGCCGGTTGCACGCAAAGCAGCGTCCTTTGAACGGTGCGACAGCGGCATTTGCGGTGACGGCACGTATTGTAGCGCCCTCGTTCGTCCCACGAGGCCGATGTCCCCCATTGCTGCTTCCGTAGGACCCCGGTCTCGGTCGGCGGAAGAAATCGAGTTTCTCTGCCATGGAGAGAATCTTCTGAAAATCGGTGACGCCTCGAAGCTGGATTTCTTGAGCGATGTCCTTCTTCAGGCCGCCGATGTAGCGGTCGATGTGCTCGCTCTCATGCATGTATCCCACCTGCTCGCATAGCGCCAGAAACCTGCTCGTGTAGTCTTGGACGGAACCGAGTTGGCGCCAAGTGCGGAGCCTCTGTCGCGCCGCGATCGAAGCCACAATTGGCCCGAAACGAGCGCGCAGACCTGCGCACCACGCGTCCCACGTGCGATACTGGGGCACCTTCACGAAATACGACGGCGCCCAGGGTCCGGTTTGTCCTTCCCATGTCGGTAGAGTCGCGTAGTCCACTGGCTTCGTGACGATGACACGCCACCAGTCCATGACGGGTCCTTGCAGCAACGACACGGCGTATCGAATCTTCGCCGTATCCACCGAGACGTAGTTCGCGTCGAAGAAAACGTTCAACGTGAAGAGCCACGCCTGAACGGTAGGACCATCCCGCTGACTTGGGTCAAAGCATGGCGGACGCTGCGGCTTCAGCCGCATCGGCGACAGTAAGGTTGATTCGCCGGCTGGCACCGAAATGGTGACTCGAGGCTGATTCCTGGCCGCATTCGTCGCGTCGGGGTGTGTCGTGCCGTGGTCGTCATCTCCGTCATGGCGGACGACGCCATCATTTGCGGCGCTCGTGGGTTGTCCCTCAATTCTGTGTTGCGATGTTTGTGGTGCGGGCTGATTTGGAGTGCCAGGTGCTTGGGATTGTTCTCGTGCGATGTCATTTTGCAGGGACGTGCGTTGTGCCGTCAGCGCCGCAATTTTTTCAGAGCTTTCGCACATTTGCCGCAGCAGTTCGTTCAAGTAGCGAGAATTGCACTAAGGTGTCAAACGAGTACAAGATGTGAGCGAAGGCATGAGCGAACATTTATCCGCGAAACATGCAAACGGTAACGCGGTGCGTGCAAGCTAGCTAGTGCTACGCTGGAAGCGAGGCTCGGGCTAGTCCCGAAGCGTAGGCCGACACGGCCGGTCCAGCAGTGCGAGCTTTGGGAAAACAGTGCACGCGAAGTCGGCGAAGCCCCGTTAGCAGTAACGGGCGAACAACGGCTCCTGCTATACGCGATGTTGCAGGGCGCGCTAAGGAAAATCGAGAAAATTCCTTACACACCCTAAACAAATTCCCGCTCGTTCAATTTCACTCGTAACAAACAACATGGAACGGGTGTGCATACATTGAGTCCCGTCGCCACACATCCGATTTTTAGGGATGTGCGACGGAAGGGTGATGTGCGATTCCTTGTGAGCGTGATGACACGGAGGTGCTGAATAACACCACGAAAGTCGTCGTTCGCGCGAATTTCATTTCATAGCCTGCCCAGCCCACTCATGCTCATCGCCCACGATTTCGTCACGCCAGTTCTTCGCCAACGTTATTTCGTTGCCACAGCAGCACCACCCAGCGAGAACCACGCCACAGTTGGACGACCGAACCATCCCCGTCGCACTGAACGGTATGCCCGGTCGTGTGCGACGTGCTATCCGTCAAGCCTCGCAGGCAAGCGAACAACCCCCTCTCAGAGTCGCCTCCCCACATTTCCGAGCCGCACAATCCATCTCAATCGAGAATTGAGAAATGCCTTCCCAGCCTCCACCTCCTCCTACCACAGCCCCCCGCCAACTCTTTTCCATAAATTCCGCTGATAAACTCCATTCCTCATCGCATCTCAACCCAGCTTCACAAAGCAAGCCCTTCAAACGCTCCTGTTCCTTTTATCGAATAGTCTGCCTGCTTCCGAAGAATAGTCATGGCGTACTCGAGAATGTCCGCGCTAGCCTGTGCGCTGCCCCTGGTGGCGCTCGTCCTGGCGTCGCTCTGCCTCAACGCCTCCGCCGAGCTCGCCGTCCCCGAGGCTGCCTCGTCCGCGCTTGCCGCTGCCATGTCCGGCGATCTGGCTCAGCTCGACGCCACAAATGCTCTCAGCGACGACGCTGCGACGAGGAGGATTCTCGACGACGACGACGACGACGATGATGACGAGGACAAGGACAAGAAGAAGAAGGACAAGAAGAAGAAGGAGGACAAGAAGGAGGACAAGAAGAAGGAGGACAAGAAGTCGAAGAAGTCTCCTCCCACTCCCTCGCCTTCCACTCCCACCACTCCCAACAAGAAGGGCGGCAAGAAGACTCCCCCCACTCCCACAACCCCCGCCACTCCTGGCAAGCCCGCCACTCCCGGCAAGCCCGGCACGCCCGGCGCGGGGAAGCCGGCGGTGAAGCTGAGCGGGTCGGACTCGAAGGTGGTATCGCTGCTGGATGCGGCGGCGGTGGACGTGGACAGCGCCAAGGCGAAGCTCTCCGTCAAGACGTACGTCAAGAGCCTCACGGACACGGCGGCGGCGCTGCGCAACGCCGCCATTCTGATTCGCACTGGGCAGCGCACGCTGGTGGCGGGGCAGATCGACAACTCGATCGCCACCATCAACGGTGTGAGCATCATGCTCCCCGCCGGCGGCGCCGACAAGAGCCTGCTCGCGTCCGCCCTTGGCAAGGCGCAGAGCGCCAAGGCCGCGTGGAAGGCGTAACGCGCACGAGCCCGGATGGCGTCGCGGGATCTCCGAATAACAGGGTGGCTCAATGATGTGAATGGCCACTTTCATACAAGGCGCGAAACTAGCCGTTGTCCTTGCTGGTTTACATTGCAGTTTAGTACTCAGGTGATGCCAGCACCGACCATAATAACCTGGCCAATCGTTGCTAGTAATGTTTCTCGTAGACATATCAAGATGTTCAGCTGTATGGATTGTACTTCACCAATAAGATGTGTCTCACCGAGCTCACTTTTCACATGGTGCGCGAAAAGAACTTGTCCCATTTCCAAGTTCTCTATCATTTGCCTTGCTCGGATCTGCATCTAATGTCCTAGTTCGTGATTTTTGGACTCTCCAGTGCTAAGCACTTTCTCCCTCGTATTCAGCACATGGCATCCTTTGCCATGCGCTCCCCCACATCACCCTACATTCCTAGGGTGAGCATTCTTCCTCAGCTGTTCCTGCAAACGCCATTGCCCTGCTGCCTTCAGGGCAGGCAGCACCTAGCAGGAGCGGCACGGCAACCAACAACGACACTGCCCCCAGCATCAGCTGTTCCTCCCGGCGCACAGAAGAAGGCAGCGGACTGCTTCTCTCGTTGTGGTGTTGCCACAACTCCTGCGGCTGGCGCGTTGAAGTTTACTGCTGCACCACGATCTCCTGATACTTTGATGACGGAAATATTACTTCCTACTTGTCAAAGCAGAAAGTGTATTGCATGTATTGCAAATACAATCCTTTTTCCATATCAATACATTCCCCAATCTATAGAACACAGACAGAAACTCTTCTGCTGGCAACAACCCTGCTGTTCATGACATGGGAAGGTGGAAGCTTACATGCGCTGGCAGGGACCGCATACACCACATACAGCACATACACCACATACACCACATGCACCACGTGCACCACATGGACATGATAGGGAGAGACAAGCCCCAGGTGGGGCGAGATTGGAGATTGGCATCTGGGTGGGTGGCATCATGCTTGTATTTCATGTCCCCCTCTTTCCCCCCCCCCCCCCCCCCCCCCCCCTCCCAAACTCCAACCTATTTCGCCTCGCCGTGCAGGGGGCATGGCGGCGGTGCATGTGCATGTGCGCAAGCGGCATGTCTGCACCTGTCCCACTCCCCCACCTCCACCGCTACTTCGCCTCAGCGGGCAGGCGGCATGGCGGCAGGCGGCTGGGGGCTGTTGCTCATGACCGGGGGTGATGATCCCAGGTGGGGCGGCATGGGCATGTGGCCGGGCGGCATGCCGTGCATGGGAACCATGGGTGGGCGGTGGAAGAAGTGTGGGGGCGGCAGCATCACAGGGCCTTGTTGGGGGAGGGGGAGTGGGATGGAGAAGAGGAGGGGTGCGGGGTGAGGATGCGGAATGAGTTTTTAGGCGTGCCTAAGAAATAGAACCTTTGGCGGGCGGTGGAAGAAGTGTGGGGGAGGTAGCATCACAGGGCCTGGTGGGAAAGCGGGGTGGGAGAATACACAAGACAACGAGTATGGTGGGGTTCACATTGGAGATTAGACTTTGGTCTTCTGAGAATTCAAAACAGGAACAGATGGTGGGTTTCACTTCTGACAATAATATTTTGGTGGGGAAGTGAGGCCTGAGGAGGAAAGGGGAGAGTGGGTAGATGAGTATGAGAGGGAGGCAGGGAGCGAGTGGAAGAGAAGATTGGAAAGGGGGCAGATGTTTGAGGTGAAACATGAAGGCAGGGCCGAGGGGCCTCGGATTGAGCTTACATCAGATTGGTCTTACGTCACACCAATTGAGCCGTGTCACATTGCATCATTGTGCCTTATAACAGTGCGAGTACCATGATTCACACTGATTTTTTGGTATTGGTAAGAATTTCAAGACAGATTCGTGGACCAGGGATGCTACCACACGAAGGAATGGCGAAGGGCAACTGGAGGAAAGAGAGAAGTAAGAGCGATAGAGGAGTGTTGAGGCGAGAGAGAGGAGTGTTGAGGTGAGAGAGAGGAGTGTTGAGGTGAGAGAGAGGAGTGTTGAGGTGAGAGAGAGGAGTGTTGAGGTGAGAGAGAGGAGTGTTGAGGTGAGAGAGAGGAGTGTTGAGGTGAGAGAGAGGAGTGTTAAAGCTATGTTGGAAAATACGCGTATGGCGTACGGAACGCATACGAACTATACGGTATCGTACATACGCGATACGCAATTTTCCAGCGTACAAAAAACCTCGAAATACGGTGCGTCGGGCAGGTTAAAAATCTCTAGGGCAGGGGAAAAACATTTCGGTTGACGTAGAATGCTTACAGGGAAAGAACTTAAGCAATACTTGATGCGGATAACTCCCGTGGGGTTTACGCCAGTACGAAATTGTTGGCTAGAATCGTCCTAATATTGCGGTTGCTAAGATCTGCAATGCAAGTGACGCGACGCCGCTGCTAGCAATAGCAGTAAACTTGGCGTGAGCCAAATGAGATTCGCTGTTGTACTCACGCCGACGTGCGAGCAGCTCGTAAGGGAAGGTTGGGTTTGGGAGGTGGTGTGAGGTGATGTGCGGTGGAGGGGAGGGGAGGGGGGGCATTCGAGTTTCGAATCTCAAAATTAGGTTTCACAGAGTTGCAGATCGCGGAATCAGCGGCAACAGATTTTTTCTCTTTTTTTTTTCAGGCTGCCCGACGAAACGTATCGCGGATTACGGAACGTATCACGTTTTTCCGTATATACGTTCTCGTATAAACGTGATACGCGTAGAAGCCCGAGCGTTTTTTCCAACATAGTGTTAAAGGTGAGAGAGAGGAGTGTTGAGGTGAGAGAGAGGAGTGTTGAGGTGAGAGAGAGGAGTGTTGAGGCGAGAGAGAGGAGTGTTGAGTCGAGAGAGAGGAGCGTAGAGGCGAGCGAGAGGAGTGTTGAGGCGAGCGAGAGGAGTGTTGAGGCGAGAGAGAGGAGTGTTGAGGTGAGAGAGAGGAGTGTTGAGGCGAGAGAGAGGAGTGTTGAGGCGAGCGAGAGGAGTGTTGAGGCGAGCGAGAGGAGTATTGAGGAGAGCGAGAGGAGTGTTGAGGGGAGCGAGAGGAGTGTTGAGGTGAGAGAGAGGAGTGTTGAGGCGAGCGAGAGGAGTGTTGAGGCGAGCGAGAGGAGTGTTGAGGCGAGCGAGAGGAGTGTTGAGGCGAGCGAGAGGAGTTGAAATATTAATAGGAAAAGGCGGGGAGAAGATACAGCTGTGGATGCAGCTTCAATAGGGTGCTACAGCCAGCTACACTCGCAAGCTCACCTCGGGGCATCCCCATGGGGTACATTTGAGGGGGACCTTTCTGCTGTGCTGCCCATTCTGTTGCAGGTGCTTTTTTATGAGAATTCTCAACAACTACCCACACCAATCTCACCTCGGGGCAGCCCCATGGGGTACATTTGAGGCGGACCTTTCTGCTGTGCTGCCCATTCTGTTGCAGGTGCTTTTTAATGAGAATTCTCAACAACTACCCACACCAATCTCACCTCGGGGCATCCCCATGGGGTACATTTGAGGCGGACCCTTCTGCTGTGCTGCCATTCCCGTCAATGGTGCTCCCTGCTGTGGAGCCTGCTGTTGTTGTTGCTGCTGTTGTTGCGGCTGCTGCCCTGCGTCTTGCTGCTGTTGCCCTTGTTGCTGGTCAGTGCTTGCTTGCTGTGAGCCCTCTTGCTGCTGCTGCTGCTGCTGCTGCTGCTGTTGCTGTTGCTGTGACTGGTCCTGTTGCTGCTGCGAGGGCACCATCATGGGAGCAGGCATCATCTGGGGTGGGCAGCACGAGAAACATGGGTAAGCGATGGTGAAACACTCTAACTGAGCATTATTGAGGCTTCACTCCAAGCTACTCTATACTTTGTACCCCTACCTTTTCTCTTGCTGCCTACCTTCCATGCCTCCTACTCCTAGCATTGCAGATATCAAGCTTCTAATATATGCCACGCTTCACGAGAAACAAACAACACCAACAGCAACAGGGGAAAAGACAGCAACAGGGCATATTACACATGAGAAAGCCAGGACAGGGAGAGGACGGACCTGGGGCATGGGCATGTACATGAGCTGCCCGTGCTGCCCATACATCATGGGCTGGGGAAACCCCTGCGGGCTGAACATCATTGGCATGCTGCCCATGCCGCCCGCCATGCCGCCCGCCATGCCGCCCGCCATGCCGCCTCCAGGCATGGGCTGGCCGGCGCCGTGCGGTGCAGGGAGGTAGGGGCGCATGGGAGGGGGCATGCCGGGCGGCATTCCGGGCGACAGCATCCCTTGGGGTGGCATGCCTTGGCCTGGCATGCCTTGTGGCGGCATGCCCTGGGGTAGCATGGGCATGAAAGCTGCTGATGGCTGGTGGGAGGGAGAGGGGGCAGAGGGGGCAGTGGAGAAGCAAGGGAGGGCGGATGCAAGGAAAGAAGCAATGATTGAACAAAAGAGAAGTGTGAGCAAAGAAATGAATCTATTATTGATGAAGGGAAAGCATGAAAACAGGCACAGAACAAGTGCTGCAGAAGAAACTGAAACAAAGGCTAGGCTTACTCCAACAAGTGAGGGAAGAAGAAGAAGAAGAAAAAAAAACGGAGAACGAAAACAATGAGACACGGGAAAGTTGAAGTGGTGCTGGCTACGCCTTTTACCGTAGGTGAGATTAGGATGACAAACCTGCTGCTGCGGCTGCCACTTGTTCATGTCATTTTGATCAGAGAAGCTTCCATCCCCCTGCTCTCCCTGCTGCTGCCCCTGCTGTTGCTGCTGCTGCTGTTGTTGCCCATAATGCACTTGCTGCTGTTGTTGCTGTTGCTGCAGTTGCTGCTGCTGCTGCTGGTGCTGCTGCTGACTGTACTCCCCGCCATCTCCCTGTCGATGCCTTTGCTGCTTGTCCTGCTGATGGTGCCGCTGCCGCCGCTGGTGCCCTGACCTTGGCTGGTGTGCCTGATGTTGCAGCAGCTGCTGCTGCTGGTAGTGATGATTATAATTCTGATTCTGATTCTGATTTTGGTTTTGATTCTGATTTTGGATTTGATTCTGATTTTGGTTCTGGTTCTGCACTTGTCCTGCTGCTGTCCCTGCACCCTGCCCGTCACCTTGCCCCTGCATTCCCCCCCCCACTCCACTCCCCCCAAACTCCCCACCATCACTCCCGCCTTCCCCTTGCGTTCCCCCTTCCTTCCCCCCACTACCCCCTCCTAAGAATCCTTGCTGAGAGAACAACGCCTGCTGCTGCTGTTGCTGCTGCTGTTGCTGCTGCTGGGGCGGCATGTACATAGGCTGGGGCGCCACAGCCAATGGCGGCATGCCACCTGGCAACGAAACAGGGATAGGTATAAGCCCTGCCGCCCCTGCTTGCCCCACAGGGGGAACGGACCCGGGGGAGGGTAGGGGGAGTGGGAGCGCGGAAGCAGGAGGGGTGGGGGCGCCAGTGGCGTTGGCAGGGGGGATGGGGGAAGACAGGGCGGGGGAGGGGGGAGGGAGAGGGGTGGGGAGGTAGATAGGGGCGGGGAAGGGGATGGGGGCGCCAGGGGCGGAGGGGGGTGCGCCAGGGAGGGGTTGAAAGGGGAAGGGGTGGTCTGGGCGGGGCTGAGGGGGGAGGGCGGAGGGGTAGGCGGGAATGAAGGGCGGGGGGAGAGGGGGAGGAGCAGCGGCGGGCATGGAGAAGGTGGGTGTGAAGACCTTGGCATTGGGGTTGAACTTGAACTCCTGGGGGGACGGGGAGGGGCGAGGGGGAAGGGATGGGAAAAGATGGAATAGGAAGCGGGTGAGTGAGTGTGATAGGGGGGGATGGGGAGGCGGGTATGGAGAAGGTGGGTGTGAAGACCTTAGCGTTGGGGTTGAACTTGAACTCCTGGGAGGGGAAGGGGGTAGGAGTGGGGAGGGGTGGGGAGGGATGGGGAGGAGGGGGGGGGTCATTTCAGTCAGCTCAAAATGGCGAAGGTGGGTGTGAAGACCTTGATGTTGGACTTGAACTCCTGAGGAGGGGGGAGGGACGGGGAGGGGAGAGGGGGAAGTGGTGGGGGAAGGGAAGAAGATGGAATAGGAAGCGGTTGAGAGAGTGCGATAGGGGGGTGAAAGGGAGGCGGGTATGGCGAAGGTGGGTGTGGAGACCTTAGCGTTGGACTTGAACTCCTGGGGGGAGGGAGCGAGGAGGAAGGGAAGGGAAGTGAGAGGGGGTTTGAAAGGCAAACGCAGATGGCCTGATCTGACAAGGTGTGTGTGTGCGCATGCGTGGGCTGTTCTGTAAATGAGCAAGTATGTGCATGGGCCAAACTGTGCACGGGTGTGTGTGTGCGCAGATGTGTGGGGAATTGGGAAAATATGAGAGAAAGGAAAAAGAGAACGTTGGGAGCTGGGTGGAGAGAGGGATGACCGGATTAGAGAAGGAGCTTCCAACCGTAAGGGAGGGGAGAGAGCCAGAGAGAAAGAGAGAAGGTGAGACGAGAGCATGCGAGAAAGAGAGGAAGGTCAATACAGACCTTGGCGTTTGGATTGAGGGTGGATTTCTTCACAGCAGCAGGAGCACCACTTGCAGTAGCAGCAGGAGCACCACTTGCAGTAGCAGCAGGAGCACCACTTGCAGTAGCAGCAGGAGCACCACTTGCAGTAGCAGCAGGAGCACCACTTGCAGTAGCAGCAGGAGCACCACTTGCAGTAGCAGCAGGAGCACCACTTGCAGTAGCAGCAGGAGCACCACTTGCAGTAGCAGCAGGAGCACCACTTGCAGTAGCAGCAGGAGCACCACTTGCAGTAGCAGCAGGAGCATTGCTGCTGCCTGCTGCCCCTTCCACACCCTCTGCCACCTTCCCTGCCGTTCCTGCTGCTGCCCCAACTCCACCAGTACCACCACTCGGCAAGTCTGCTGCTGTTTCACCACCTTCACCTCCTCCTCCTGCTCCCACACCACCATCTGCTGCCTTCCCTGTGCTCTTTTCCTGTTCGCCTGGCGCCGTTGCTGCTGTTGCTGATGCTTCGCCAGAAGCTGGCTTCGGTGCCAGAGCTCTGGCTGCTGAGGTGGCAGCCGGCGCTGACGTGGCAGGAGCGTCCACGGAATGCGAGTTCGAGCGCGCCAGGTTGGACGGCGACGGGGAGCGGTATGACGTGGCAGGAGCGGCAGCGGAGGAGACAGCTGCGGAGGAGGAGGAGCAGAGGAGTGCTGAAGCTGCAGATGCTAGGAAGGGCTTCAGGTCCGGGGAGGAGTGGGAGCTCTCTAGGTAGGTGGGCGTGTTGCGACCAGAGGAGCGACCTGCAGGAGGGGAGGGGAAGGGCAGGAGGAGGGACGGAGCAGAGGTTATGAGGCAGCAGAGGCAAGGAGGCAGGAGGGGCGAGGAGGTATTGTATGGTTGGTGGGGACAAAAGAGGAGGGAGGGGATAGGAGACAGGGAGGAGATGGGAGGGTGGCTGCGTGTAGGTGTCGAAGGTAGAGCGAGCAGGAGCATTTGATGAGGTGGCTGGGCACAAGAGTCAAACGAGACTCACACGAAGAGACAGGTGAACGCGAATCGAATTGCTGAAGAGATATGGCCGCCATTCCCATCAGAATCAGACAAGGATTGGCCAGCCAGTGATCCAGCAGGAGCAGCAGCCAGAGGCAGGTATGCAGAGTGAGTGGGGTGGGGGACACACAGAGAGGGAAGAATAAAAAGAAGCAGTTAATGTGAGTGTAGCAGAGACGGAAGAGGCTTGGAGGTGGCAGGATCAACACAAGGATCATCTGCACATGATAAATGTGCTGCACAGCAATTATTCACGGTACCAACAGCATCTCACAGCACCCCACAGCATCTCACAGCCCTCCACAGAATCTCACAGCACCACACAGCACTGCCTTACAGAACTGCACAGCAGCTCAAAGCACGCTAGATAAAAGAACAGAACTAGCTCGAAACACTAGCTCTAGACCAGCGTGGCTCACTAAACTCCAGTTCATCACACCATATCGCGTGTGCCCTGTCCCACACCATAAAAACCTCCCTCTTCCCACCTCTCCCCTCTCCTCCCGCTCCACCTTGCCCAACAGGTCAAGAATTGGGGCACACACCCACCCCTTCTGCCCAGAGAGGATGGGCAGGATGGGCAGGATGGGCAAAAGCGCATCCTCTCTCTGCAGGTCCCCCAGCATGCCTTCTTTCCCGGTCCCTCCAGCACACCCCCCACCCCCACACTCCAACCTTGCACACCCCCCTCCCCCACACTCCAACCTTGCACACCCCCCCCCCAACTCCAACCTTGCACACACCGCGCACCTTGCCCAGCAGGTCACTGCACGAGCGCACCCCCTCCGCCTCGTCGCGCATGCGCCGGCTCCTCTGCTTGAACTCCTGGAACTCGCTGGAAGGAGGGGGGCAGGGTTGAGGGGTGGAGTGAGGTGAGGGGCGGTGACAGGGAGGGGTGAGTTGGGGACTTTGCTTTGTTCCCTAGAACGTTGCCCCCTCACGCATGCGCCGGCTCCTCTGCTTGAACTCCTGGAACTCGCTGTGAGGAGGAGGCGGAGGGGGAAAGGAAGGGGCGTGACACTCAGCTTGTAAGGAAGGGCCTGCAGCACGTTGGTTGGCAGCAGCACGTTGGTTGGCAGCAGCACGTTGGTTGGCAGCAGCACGTTGGTTGGCAGCAGCACGTTGGTTGGCAGCAGCACGTTGGTTGGCAGCAGCACGTTGGTTGGCAGCAGCACGTTGGTTGGCAGCAGCACGTTGGTTGGCAGCAGCACGTTGGTTGGCAGCAGCACGTTGGTTGGCAGCAGCACGTTGGTTGGCAGCAGCACGTTGGTTGGCAGCAGCACGTTGGTTGGCAGCAGCACGTTGGTTGGCAGCAGCACGTTGGTTGGCAGCAGCACGTTGGTTGGCAGCAGCACGTTGGTTGGCAGCAGCACGTTGGTTGGCAGCAGCACGTTGGTTGGCAGCAGCACGTTGGTTGGCAGCAGCACGTTGGTTGGCAGCAGCACGTTGGTTGGCAGCAGCAGGTTGGTTGGCAGCAGCACGTTGGTTGGCAGCAGCAGGTTGGTTGGCAGGACCATGCTCTGATTGATCCTTATCATCCCTCCCTCCCACACTCCCTTTCGCACCCAACTCTTACGAACCCTGCCCACCCAGCCCCATGACCCACACCACACCACGCCTGTCTCCCCCCCCCACCGGTATACATCATCTGAGACGTGCGGCACGCTCTGGTCGAGGCTGAGCGTCTGCAGGTTGGCGGGGTCATGCTTCAGGCATCACCCGACACCCCCACCACTCCCCACCCCTCCCCACCTACCGGTACACATCATCGGATAAGTGAGGCACGCTCTGGTCGAGGTTGAGCGCCTGCAGGTTGGCGGGGGCGTCTGTTAGCAGCGGTGACATGAGGGGCGAGCGACGGGACGGACTGCCAGTGCCGTGCACCTGGAACAGCCCTCCTGATGCCGCCTGGGGGAGGGGTTGGGGGAGGGGGTGGGTTTGAAGGAGGGGGGAGGGGGGAACAGGGGGAGGAGGAGAGCAGTGGCGACATGAGAGGCGAGCGACGGGATGGGGTGCCAGTGCCATGCACCTGGAACAGCCCTCCTGATGCCGCCTGGGGGAGGGGTTGGGGGGGGGGGGAGTGGGGAAAACATGGGGAGGAGGAGAGAGAACGTGTGGGTCCCACATGCACGTGGAACGGGCTGGTCGGAGGCAGAGAGAGCACAATCCTCGAGAGAGGCAGAGAGAGCACAATTCTCACTTCCTCTTCCCACTTCTCCAGTCCCCATTCCCGTTTCCCAGCCCCCAGCCCCCAGCCCTCAATCTCCAGTCTCCAGTTCCCATACCTTCACGAGGCGGCGGGGGTGCATGCGCAGGCGCGGGTGCGAGGGGATGGAGGGCAGGTCAGAGGCGGAGAGAGCACCGCTGGCGCCACTGGCACCACTGGCAGACGATGTGGATGATGCTGATGATGACCGTGATGCCCCCACTGCCGCCTTCCCCTCCCTCGCCTCCTTCCCTTCCTTCCCTTTCTTCCCTTCCTTTCCGTCTTTCTCGCCCTCCTTCCTCTCCCCTTTCCCGCGCTCTGCTGCTCCCTTTGTCCCTTCCTCCTCCTTTTCCTCGGTTCCACTACTCCCCTGCTTCACCTTCTCTCCCCTCTCCGTCTCGTCACTGCTGCCACCCGCAGTCGTTTGGGCGGCAGATTTCGTCCGTTTCTCGCCCTCGCCTGCAGCTTCTGGGGCGGCAACTTCTGTCTGTTTCTGGCTTTCGCCTGGAGCGCTTTTGGCAGCGGATTCAGATGAGACACCTGGAGTAGGCAGCAAGGGGGGCGCCTGGGGATAGCAACACGCAAGGAGAATTTGCATAGAGACGCAGCGAGGAGAGGAACATGAAGAGTTGAATTGAGCAGCAGCAGGGATGAGAGAAGAGAAAAGAGAAAGCCAATTCAACTCTTCATGTGTCACATGTGGGGCAGAGGGTGAGGCACATGTGTCATATGGCATCTTCCTTGACCTACGCCTATCAACCGCCAAATGTGTTGCAACCACGAATTTCATATTCACCAACCCCACATTCACCAACCACACATTCACTCAATTCCCCACCACCGGCAGCACCACATCTGTCCCCCACTCCCCCCCACCAGGATGGCATGGCCCGTGGGGGGCGTACGCACGAACACCACTTCTACCCCAACCCTTCTCTCCCCCACCTCCTTCTCCCCCTCGGCCCACCCCCAAGTAACTTACAGTGCCATGCATGGTGGTGGGGGCGGCATCACCGAAGGTCTCATGGTCGGCATGGCATCATCCAACTCGTCAATTGCTGCCCACATTCACCCACCCTTTCTCTCCCTCACCTGCCTCTCCCTTCGCCCCACCCCCACCCCCAAATGACGTACAGTGCCATGCACGGTGGTGGGGGCGGCATCACCGAAGGTCTCATCGTTGGCATCATCCACCTCGTCGTCCATTCCGCTGTCCAGATCAGCGCTGCAGGGCATGAGTGCATGGGTGGGTGGTACGGATGGTGTGGTATGGTAAGAGTGCAAGGGTGCATCATCCACCTCGTCGTCCATTCCACTGTCCAGATCAGCGCTGCAGGGCATGAGTGCATGGGTGGGTGGTACGGGACGGGAGGTATGGGTGATATGGTTGGTGCTGGTTGTTGGTAAGGGTGTTGAATGCATCATTCACCTCATCATCCATTCCGCTGTCCAGATCAGCGCTCGGGTACATGAAGGCATGGGTGATAACATGGGCATACGTGGTGTGGGTGGACCGTGGGCGCATGGGCGCATGGATAGGTGCATGGATGGGTGCATGGATGGGTGCATGGATGGGTGCATGGATGGGTGCATGGATGGGTGCATGGATGGGTGCATGGATGCAAGGTTCAAAAATACGTTTTTTTGTAAAAAACGGTCCGTTTTTTACGGTAATTTTCCAAAAAAACGACGTTTTTTTGTTAGAGAACTGTTGTCACCAACAAAAAAAGGGAATAACAAGGTCGAATACATTTTCAATCATGCCCACAAGCGCACGCATGCAAGGAGGGGTTCGTCCTCTTCATGCAAGGAGGGGTTCGTCCTCTTCATGCTGGTGCCTTTTGCCATCAATTTGGTCCCTCTCTCGGCAATACACACTGGACCCTCTCTCGGCAATACACACTGGACCCTCTCTTGGCAATACACACTGGACCCTCTCTCGGCAATACACACTGGACCCTCTCTCGGCAATACACACTGGACCCTCTCTCGGCAATACACACTGGACCCTCTCTCGGCAATACACACTGGACCCTCTCTCGGCAATACACACTGGACCCTCTCTCGGCAATACACACTGGACCCTCTCTCGGCAATACACACTGGACCCTCTCTCGGCCCTCGCCACTCACGCGGATCGTATGACCGAAGAGTACTTGGTCTCCTCGTCAATATCATCATCATCGTCCCACGCACTGTCCGCATTGCCGCCCAGGCCCCCAGCAGCAGCAGCAGATGGGTCATCCGAGGCGAGCGCGGCCTTGACTGCCGATGCCAGTGTGCGCGCTGCATTGCGCAGATGGAAGCCCCGCTCCTGATGGGGATTTGTGGGGAGGGCGATGGGGATGAGAGGGGTATGAGCGACAGATGCGAGGGAGAGCAGCAACAGATGCGTCATCTGAGGGAGAGGGCGGCCTTGACTGCTGATGCCAGTGCATGGGTTGCTGTCCGCAGATGAAAGCCTCGCTCTTGATGGGGGTTGTGGGGAGGGCGATGGGGATGAGAGGGATACGAGAGGGAGAGGAGAGGCCGATGAGTAAAGAGGAGAGGGAGGGACGGGAAATGAGAGAATGAGGAGAGTCTACATGTTCCTGCTCGCTGTGACCGCGCAGCATGAACCTGTAACTCCCATTTGGTCGCATGAGAGTGTGTATATTTGTACAAAGCGCACCTTATCCCCCCAACCCCCCCTTCCTCTTCTTGACCCCCCAACAAAACACGCACCTCAGCAGTGTGCATGTTCCTGCTGGGTTGCGACTCAATCTCCCGTGCGATCCGCTCAGCATGCGCCTGCAGCTCCCGGGACGGCCGCACCAGCGGAGTCGTGTAGATGGCCTCGTCAAATGATGTCTCCACGCCAAACAACTTGCGGTTTGCCTCAAACTGGTCCCACGCCCTGTGACCAAGGGTGGGTGGGTGAGATGGTGACAACAAGGGGAGGGAGGGTATAGGGGAATAGGCGTTGTGTAGTTGGCCTCGTTGTGTAATAGGGGGATAGGCGTCTCCACACCGCTGAACAGCTTGCGGTTCACCTCAAACTGGTCCCACGCCCTGCCAGTGCACGGGAGAGAGGAAGGGGGGGTCGGTGAGATGATGGGCGGGAAAGGGAAGGGAGGGAGGGGTAGAGGAGTCGTCGTGTATATGGCTTCGTCGTATGGCGTTTCCAAGGCAAACAGCTTGCGGTTCGCCTTGAACTGGCCCCTCCCACGCCCTGCCAACACACAGGGTGAGAGTGGGATGGCGAGGGGAAAGGAGGGGAGGACAAGGGGGATGGGAACAGACACACCCCCAAACGCACACACACACACATCAGCCAGCGAGCATCTTCACCCTTTACCCTCTACGATCTGCCGGCCCTCCCCTCCATCCCACCTGGAGCTGCTTCTGTAGCTATCTTCGTCCAGTCCCATCCCCTCCTCCCCTCCATCTAATGTCCACCACTCTAACCAGCCCAGCACACCTCCATACGCACACAACAACATTCCATGCTCATCTCTCCCTTTCTTCCCTCTCCCTACCCCCCTCTCCCCATTTTCCCACCTGGAGCTGCTTCTGTAGCTATCTTCGTCCAGACCCATCCCCTCCTCCCCTCCCTCCGGCGCCCACCGCTGCAGCTCCCGCCCCTCCCCGCCTGCGCCTCCCCCTGCGCCCCCCCAGCTGCCCCGTGCGTTGGTGAGCATGCTTCTGATGCTGCTGTCTGTTCTGATTTCCCCGTTGGCTGCAAGAGACGAGGCCAGCAGGTCGGATCCGAACAGTGGGACGTCCTGTGCGTGAGCGAGGGTGTGGGAAAGGGGGAGGGGGGTAGGGCGGAGGGGAGAGGGGGGGAGGGCAGTGGGAGAGGTGAGTGAGCAGGTCCGATCCAAACAGAGTGTGTGCGAGGAAGGAGGGAGTGAGTGACAATGGGGGTATGAGAGAGAAGGGATGAGGGAATGGCCCCTTCAAGCTTGCACCATGGCCCCCTACGCTTCCGTCATACGGAGAAACAGTGAACAGAGAGAGCTTGGGAAAGAGATTGGGGGGAGAGAGAGCAGCATAGGGAGTGAGCTCGGGGGGGAAAAAATACTGCAGCGTTGGGAGCGAGCTTGGGGGAGGGAGCAGCTTTGATGACGAGCTTGCCTTGGCGATCAGCTGTACGAGGTCGACAGCTGGAACCACCAGCGTTTTCACCGGAGGCTTCCTGGCAGCTTCCCTGACCGCTGGCGTCTCTGTGCTCTGCGGCCCCGTTCCCTGCCGCACCAGCCGCGCCATCCTGAGCACCACGCCTGGAAGCATGGGGTTGGGATGGGAGCACGACGAGCGAGTGGGTGCGATTGGATGCAATTGGGTGCGAATGACTGGGTGCGATTGCGTGTGATACGGTGCAATTGGGTGCGATTGGGTATAAGATGATCAACGAGATCGCACCAGCCGCTCCATCCTGGGCACCACAGCTGGGGACGTATGGTTGGGAACACGAAGAAAGAGTGGGTGCAGTTGGATGCAAATGATTGAAATCGGGTATAAGAAGAACCAGACTGCACCGGCTGCCCAATCCATTCTCGATTGATTGAAATTGGATGCGAATGATCGAGATTGGTTCTGAACCACAATTTCCCCCTCGACAACTCCATTCTCGATACTTGTCCACCCTTCTTCCTCCTTTCTTCTCATTTCTTCCTCATTCCTCTTTCGATTCTCACACAATATATTCTACTCTTCACCACAAAAGAAAAATTGAGGTTTGTGACAGCCTATCACATGCATCCTCAAAAGCAGGCACTATTTTCTTTTCCTTGCTGCAGTGAGGTGAATGTACAGGAAACACCTTACGCGTTCTTTTTTTATCACAATCACAACACATCCCAGACGTGCGAAGGATTGGATTTGTTGACCAGGCGCGTACAGGACTGGTAGCCCTGACAAGCGAGGAACGAGTCACTCTGTCTGCTTTGGGTGGGAGCGGGTCTGCAAGTGATGGAACAGGGGGTGACGATAATTGTCGTCGTCTGAATGTTGTTCTCTAGGTTAACGATCAGGGCGCAGTGAAAGAAATTCGAGATGCTCGTGCAAAACTCCCATAAGATACGGTGTCACTGCACTTCCTGTCGCCGCCCCTTGGTGATAGTGAGTGACATTGACGTGGCAGCTGCCCACATGACTCACCTTGAAAGCCAACACAAGTGGCTTGTGCAGCTGCCACGTCAATGTCACTCACTATCACCAATAGGCGGCAGGAAGTGCAGTGACACCGTATCCTGTGATTGCTTTGCACGAGCATTTCGAATCTCTTTCACTGTGCCCTGATCGTTAACCTAGAGAACAACATTCAGACAACGGCAATTATCGTCACCCCCTTCTCCATCACTTGCAAACCAGCTCCCACCCCAAGCAGACAAAGTGACTCATACCTTGCTTGTCCAGACTGGCATGCACCTGGTCAACAGATGCAACCCTTTGCAATTCTGGGATGTGTTGTGATGGTGATAAGAAGGGGAACGCGAATAATATTTCCTGTACACCCACCTCACTGCAACGAGGAAATGAAATCGTCAAGAAGGTTGATGCAGGTTCACATTGTGTTATGGAGCTAGACGGATTTCATGACTGGCAGAACGACGATGCCATCGAGGCATTTCAAGTGGCCTACACGACAAGAACACTTAAAGATGCCTCTCATCTTGATTACCTAAAACGACAACAAGTTACAAACGCATACCTCACACGGTGCGTTTGACACACCAAAAAGTTGGAGAAATGCATGACATTAACGAAATAGTGTCTGGGTTTGAGGATGCATGTGATAGGTTGTCACAAACCTCTTTTTTTTGTTTGTTTGTTTGTTTGTTTGTTTGTTATTTTGCATGGACAAGATGGACATATGATTAGGCATGAGCAACCGACCCAACTCGCCCCGACCCGACATGATTTGAACGGGCCAGAGGGTACCGCGTCGGGTCTGGTCTTACCGGGCCGAGGCTTCCAAAACTCTGGCCCGACCCGGCATTGAAGGGGTCAGGTCGACCCGAGGGCGGGTCGGGTACAAAAAAACCCGTTTTCGCCCGCGCTCTGCGCATATTGGCGATTTCGTTTGCCGATCTGCGCAGATCGGCGATTTCGCCCGCCGAACTGCGCAAACCGGCGATTTCGTTGGCGTATGTGTGCAGATCGCCCATTTCACTGGCCTACGAAGGTCGGGATATTGCAGGTAAAGTACTGAGCCTATGACTCATTCGCCCCAACAAATGAGTTAGAAAAACACAATTTCAACCAATTTGCGATTGCTCACGACTCTTTACCGCACATAATCTACAGGACCCAACTCCCCGCTCCCACCTTTTACAAATCTCTCGACATTGAGCCTCTATACATAGTCGACTAGTAAATGCCTTTGTAGCTAGGGTTCGAAATCTACCATTCTACCATTCTTAGGATAACCCAGATCAGGTTGATGACGAAGAAATCGGGTCGGGCAAGTACCCGACCCAATTTAGAGCATTCTTAACCCAATTCCAGGTCGGGTCACTATTGCGTCAAGACCCGTCCCGACCCAGCCCGATTTCAGGGATCGGGTCACGGATCGACCCAACCCGGCCGGGGAAACTGGCCCGACCGGGCCGGGTCAGCGTTTTGAAACTGGCCCGGCCCGGCTTTCGGGGCCCCATGCTCATGCCTACATATGATGATACTTAGAGCAAACTTATGTACATATGGTTAACTTGGACGTCCATAGGACACATAAAAGACGTTAGCCATCCATTCCTTTCCTAAGAATTTCCATCAAAGAGAGAGTGGGTGCAATTAGATGCGAATAATTGAAATTGGGTATAGGATGAACCACTGCAACACAGCTGGTGGCACACGGTTAGGAACACGGGATAAGAGGGATGTTGAGTGGAGTTAGGGGCATGGGAGAAGGTTCACTAGTTCTCCAAATCTTCCTTGTTAGAAGCATACGCTGACTCACCATAGTCCTCCTCGTTAGCAGCGTGGAATATGCCGGAGTACGAGTCGCCCTGCACCAGTTGCACCTCCACCGCATGCCCAATCAAACACGCGCTCACCGCCACCATCCATTCCCGTCCCCCCGCGCGCGCTGCCCCCACGCTCGCATCTCCCGCGCTCCCCCCGTTCGCGCTCCCCCCATTCGCACTCTCCCCCGCTCTGTCAAGCGCGCCCCCGCCGTCCCCTTTTCGCGCGCCCTTCCCCGCTTGCGCCTGGTCCAGTTGCGCCTGCTGCTGCGACAGAGGCGGCGGCGCCGGCTGCTGCAGGTGCTGCAGCGGCTGTTGCCACGCGCCGGTCAACACACCCACCCCGCCCCCGCCCGTGTGCCACGGATTTCCGCCAGGTCCCCCGCGGGCTCCGCCAGGCGCGCCAGCGCCACCTCCCCTTCCCCAAGCGTTGTCGTTCTTCCCCGGTCCGCCCCGCGCCCACGCTCCCCCGGGAGCTGCGCCACCCGCAGATCTACCGCCGTCCGCGCTGTCTCCCCATCCCGTGCTCCCCCCTCCGCCTGCTCCCGCCGCTCCTGGCCCCGCGGGCGGGGGAGGGGCGGCGGCGGCGGAGCGCCAGCTGGGCTGGTCGGAGCGGGAGGGCGCAAGGGGAGAGTCGCGGGAACCGGAAGGGGATCGACCGTATCTGCCGGTCTTGCTGGCCGCAGCTGACTGATGCATTGAGAAGTGCTTGTGCGAGCTAGGGAGAAATACAGAGCATGTGCAAGCTTTCAATAGAGGATGAGCCTAAAAGTAAGAAACACGATAAGATTCTAATATGGAGAAAGGGAATTCGCGTGGACTTTGATAAAGTAGGGACTGTTCCGAAATCCCCGCAGTAGATCTGGCGCGGGGATTTGTCTTGTCGCTGCTCTCGAAACGGCAAAGCCTGCCCGAAAATGCCTCGGATCGCACCTGAATTAAAAGAGATTGTCCGTACTAGGCGACCAAACCCTAAATCTGAAGCGAAACAAGTGATTTCACGGAATGCAGAATATGCACATCGTGAGGTGAAGGGAACGAATCCAACAACCACCTTGCCGTGCATATTGCTCAAGACGGACCAGCCACGATGCCTACAACAAACCAACCTGGTGCCCTTGGAATTTGCTTCTCACAAAACCCGTTTGAAACGTTATCGAATGCAGAGAAATCCTCTGCAACCTCCCCTTACCGAATGAAGTGAATTTTGAGCAACAAGGATGTTGGTGAGGTGAGGAGACATGAAAGGCACGGAGCTACAGTAGTTTCGTGGTGGTGTAGCGGCCACAGCATTTCTTGTACAGCAGGCAGACCGCTGGGTCCGCCAGGAGGAGTCGCACGAGCCAACCACATGAGCTCGCGCCAATCTCGAGATTGATCAAACATGTTCCATTCAGAGTGTAGCGCTGACGTATAGAAGTCTAAGCTTTGTGCTGCTAGGTATAGATCAAAATAATCACCAACATTATTAAGAGCTGAATATAATGAAGGTAAACAGAATATATGCTAACATATTTTCCTTACCAGTCATGCAAGTGCAGCATCAATGATGGCTTTGGTTTCTGATTGGTGGATGGCGAAGCTACCAGTGGCAGGAGAGGCAGAGGGGGCACGACCAACAAAACGGATGGGCGTGGGTGCTGACGTGGCAGGGTGATCTGGACACAGGCTGTGCAGTAGCGTGGAGACACGTGGCCTGATGTACGGCCATGCTCCCATGTTCTTGGGCTCCTCCTGTAACGATACATTAGATAAATTGGCATGGCACGACAAAATATACGAGACATGGAGAAACATGTGAACTCTAAGAACAATACCTGGGTTGCGCTTGTACCCTCACGAGTGAAGCAATGGAGTGCCTAATAGCAACCCTCCCGCCGCACGAGTGTGTGGGGTGAGCAGAGCGAGTGGAAAAGAAGAGGGAGGAGCACTCACCTGCGCCCACACGAGTTCAGCGTTGGAATGGCTATTGATGACCCGTGCCATGTGGTCCACGGCCATGGGCACCATCTGCTCTATGCGCATCAACCCCGAGGAGGAGCAAAGAGGGGGAGCAAGTGGAGGGCAGCAAAGAGAGGGAGCCAAGAGGAGGGGAAGAAGGGGAGGAGCACCCACCTGTGCCCACACGAGTTCAGCAGCAGAGTGGCTGTTGATGACCCGTGCTACATGGTCCACCGCCATGGGCGCCAGCTGCTCTATGCGCATCAGCCCCACCTCCCACTGCTTCCTCGCCCTCCTGGCGTGCGCCAGCGAGTAGTAGATCTGGTGTGGTGGGGGCAGGGAGGGAGGTAGGGACACATGGGTGCGGTGGGTAAAAGGTCTGCTGTTGTGGCATGGGTGGCAGGAATGTGGAGAGAAGGGATGTGATAATGGCACAGTTCGATAGACGGTGAGTTGGGGAAGCAAAGGGCGGTGAGTTGGGGAAGCAAAGGGCGGTGAGTTGGGGAAGCAAAGGGCGGTGAGTTGGGGAAGCAAAGGGCGGTGAGTTGGGGAAGCAAAGGGTGGTGAGTTGGGGATGCAAAGCATGCAGCAGCATGTGGTGTCGCAACACAGGGGCCATCCCATGCCATCACATGCCGTACCACGTTGCATGTTATGTCAGCAGGATTCCAGTACACACCACAACACAGAGCATGCCCATGCCGCACCTTCCCTGAGCATAGCACAAGGCGTTTCATCTCGCCGGGCGGCAGCAGCTTGTCAGCATGCAGATGCCGCATGTTGTCTCCTATGTCTCCATCCGCTATCACTGGCCTGGCGGGAACGCATGGCACAGAAAGGTCTAGTAATACGTTTTGAGCGGAGCGGAAATACGTTTGCTTAAGCCTATCAGCCTTCGCTTAAGCCTACTGCACGCACGCAACTCACTGAGCCATGTCCGGATCTCGCATGGCACAGAAAGGTGTAGTAATACGTTTCGATTCGACTTGAGACTCGTCTTTGGGACGACTCAAACAAACATTCCACAGAGCGGAGAGGAAAGGAAGCACATGACCCATTCTTTGTCTATGCCTCGAAAACTGCTCTGTAGACATAGCGATTGCCATGAAGGGGAGGGAAGTAGAGAGTCACACTGTGGATGTGAATGGGGAAAGGAGGGGGAAGAAGGGGGGAGGTTTACAAGAAGCAGGAGAGGGGAATGAGAGCTCACTGGAAGAATGTGCCGGGCTCATTCGAAGTTGGGGGAAGAAGGGCTCACTCACTGGAAGAATGTGCCGGATGTGAAATGGCTGAGAGGTGATGCACATGGCTTGTGATGCAGCAGGTACTGCTTGGGCGGAAGGGGGGGGGGAAACAGGAGTGGAACGGGAGGACGGAGAAACATGCTACAAACTTGAGCGGGAGTGATTGACTGGGTAACGGCACTCTTGTGTCGCATATACATTAAGAATGGGCTGGAAGAAATGAAAGGGAGCTCAGAAGAATTTTCCAACACGATCTGCTGAAGTCTGCAATTGGTGGGTTGGAGATTTGGGGTAATCACATTTGGGTAAGTTTGGGATTTCGTGTCTACGGCACAACTCACTCAACCTCTTCTACACAAGAAAAATATGCAAGGAAGGTCAAGTACAGTAGGGGCGTGAGCAGCAAGCGGCATGTAATGAGTCGTGTTTTGAGTCGACTCAAAACAATACACAAAGAAGGTCAAGAACAATATTGGCGCGAGCAGCAAGGGGCGTTACCTTGGGGGACATGATGACGAGGGGCTTGGAGAAATGCCGATTGACCTGTGCAAGAGAGAGAGGTGACCGACAGATGGATGCACATGGGTACAGTCGGGTGGATGGGGAGAGATAAGCACTTGGAGATGATGATGGTAGTGATATGTACGTAATGAGACGATGCCTTGATGACACATGTGAACACACAGCAGTGGAGGGCACCTGATAGTAGAGAGGGCACCTGACAGCAGAGAGGGCACCTGACAGCAGAGAGGGCACCTGACAGCAGAGAGGGCACCTGACAGCAGAGAGGGCACCTGACAGCAGAGAGGGCACCTGCCAGCAGAGAGGGCACCTGACAGCAGAGAGGGCACCTGAAAGCAGAGAGGGCACCTGACAGCAGAGAGGGCACCTGACAGCAGAGAGGGCATCTGACAGCAGAGAGGGCACCTGACAGCAGAGAGGGCACCTGACAGCAGAGAGGGCACCTGATCTTAGAACTTAGGCTTAGAAGCGATGCATTAGTAATGAGCTTGAAGCTCTTTAAATACATCCAAGAAGGGGAGGGAATGGATGGGGAAGGGAATCGGGGGCAATCCTAGGGATTGGGGGTAATCCCAAGGCAATCTCCAATTGGTGGGTTGGAGATTGCTTGGAGATTACATTTGGGTTTGGTTGAGATGTAGGTGTACACCCAACCAAACACAATGTGCAAACTACACTACTCTAGGATATAGAAAATACAAAGTACAAAGTGTGAGATTGAAGGCTAACACTAACACCCCCCCATAGGCGTCAATCGAACTCATGGTAGAGAGGGTGGTGCACAGAGCCCCATGGCGCCTAGGAGACGGTGGTGGGGAACTTTCCCAAGGGGCTTGGTGAACAGATCAGCCAGGTTGCAGTCAGATGCAACGTATTCCACTTTCAGCTGCTCCTGTTGGACAAGGTCACGGATGAAGAAGTGCCAAAGTTCAATATGCTTGGTGCGGGTGTGATACACAGGGTCTTGAGAGATGTGGATGGTAACCTGGTTGTCACACCAGAGGGTGGGGGCGGACTGTGGGAAACCAAGCTCCTGGAGTAGGAAGGTGAGCCAACGGGCCTCCTGAGCAGCCATGGTGCCTGCGTAGAGCTCTGCCTCACAGGAGGAGAGGGAGACTGCAGACGACCTGGTGGAGCGCCAACTGACAATTCCGCTCCCAAGGGTGAAGCAGTACCCCTGAGAGGAGCGTCGGTCGGTCTGGTCATCAGCCCAAGAGGAGTCGGTGTAACCTTCCAGGCGAGGAGGGGAGAGCCCACCGAGTGTGAGAACGTGAGACTTGGTGCCCTGAAGATAGCGCAGCACCCGCTTCGCCGCCTTCCAGTGAAGATCAGTGAAGCGTCCAGGGGCCACGTAGCGAGAGAGGACACTGACAGGATAGGCCAAGTCCGGTCGGGTGCACATCATGGCGTACATGAGGGACCCAACAAGCTCCGGGTATGGCTCAGAGCAGGCCTCTGGTGTGGGTACAGCTGGAGCAGTGAGGAGGTGTTGCAGCGGCAGCGGGGTGGCAACAGGTGTGCACAGGTCCATCTCAAACCGCTTGAGCACATTGTCGATGTAGAACTCCGGGGAGAGTGAAATGGTGCGAGCCTGGCGATCACGAGTGATCTCCATCCCCAGGTAGTGCTTGAGGTCACCGAGGTCTTTCATCTGGAGAGCCTTGCTCAGGGCTGCCTGGACAGAGGTCATCTGGGCCGAGTCCTTGGCAACGAGGATGAAATCATCCACGTAGACCAGGATGTAGAATGGCTCAGAATGACGGCGGATGAAGAGAGTCGGGTCAGCAGTTGAAGGGTGGAAGTCCAGGGAGAGGAGGACTTCTTTCACCTTGTTGTGCCATTCGCGAGGGGCTTGCTTAAGGCCGTAGACAGGGCGATTCAGCTTCCAGACAGTGTTGGGAGGGAATTCTCCTGGAAGGCCTTCTGGTCTGTCCATGAACACTCTCTCCGTGAGACGTCCTTGTAGGAAGGCGGATGAGGCATCCATGGATTTGATCTCAAAGTCTTCTCGAGCTGCGACATCCATGAGCGTACGAATGGTGGGAGGTTTGGATGTGGGGGAGAAGGTTAGGAAGAATTCGCAGTACTGCTGCTAGGTGAAGCCCTTGGCTACGTAACGCGCTTTGAACACCGGGGCCTCGTCTGGGAGCTGTTTTACACGGAACAACCACTTGCCCCCGACGATGTTGACTCCTGGAGGTGGAGTCTCGTCGTCGAAGGAGTGGTTGCGGGTGAATGCTGCAATCTCCGCTTCCATGGCAGCACGCCATTCGGCAGTATGAGGGCCTGAGAGAGCCTCTTGGACGGTGAGAGGGATAGGGATGGTCGGGTTCTCCGCGAAGTTGAGGGAGGGTGAGTCAGTGTTGTCGGGGAAGATGTGCGAGAGCTGACGAATGAGTGCATGAAGATCACACAGCTCCTCATGCCTGTCTTCTAGAAGGGTAGAGGGCAGATCCCCCCCAGCAGGAGGAGGCGGTGTGATCGCCGTGTATCGAAGAACCAGCGCTAGTGGAAGAGCCGCGCCATGCGAACGAGTGCCATGAGCCACCGGAGAAGAGGGTGGGGCAGGCGGTGTCGGAGGGGTTGACTTAGGAGGCTTGGGCGGGGGAACGGGCCGCCGGTGGTACGTGATCAGCTCGGGCGACTGTGGGAGAGCGGGTTCCTCTGTGGTGGGGGGAACCGGGGGAGGAGGTGGGGCCGGAGGGTGGGACCGCCGATGGTAGGTGATAGGTGCGCTCGGAGGTGGCTGCACAGTCGGCGGAGTGGGAAGTGAGGGGGATGGAGGAGCAGCTGCCGAAGACACCGGTGAGGGCGGGTCAGAGACCGCAGAGGGGGACGGTGCGGTGGCAGGAGGGGTAGGGGGTGAAGGGGCCGGAGCAGGCGAGAGGTCAGGAGGCGCATCGAAGTCTGCCCACACGAGGGAGGGTGGGTCAGGGAGAGAGTCCCGTCCCGAAGTGGAGTAGAATGGGCGGGTCTCATCAAAGACAACGTCGCGGCTCCGGACCAACTGCTGAGTGGAGGGATTGAGGAAGAGGTAGTCAGGCGAGTCGGCGTTGTGTCCGAGGTAGATGCATGTCTGGGTCTTAGGACCGAGCTTGCCGCCGTGCTGCCGTCGAGCCTGAGGGTTGAGGAGGACATAGGCGGTGCACCCCCAAACGCGAAGAGAGCGAGCAGTGGGCGTTTTCCCGAGCCAGAGTGTGGTTGGAGTGGTGTCGGGAAGATGCGGGTGGGGGTAAAGGTTGTAGAGGAGGGCGGCGTGGTAGAGAGCGTACCCCTAGAGAGAGTGTGGAGCGTTGGAGTGGCTGAGGAGGCACCGAGTGATCTGCACCAGGGTGTGGTTGCGGCTCTCAGCTATGCCGTTCTGCTGCGGGCTGTCAGGGAGGGTGAAGTTTTGCTGGATGCCTTCTGAAGAGCAGAAGGCTTTGAGCTTGTCGTTGCAAAACTCACCACCACCATCTGAGTGGAGGCGCTTGACTTTGCGGTCAAAGGCGGTCTGTGCCTGTTTAACCCACGCCATGAGGACCTCTGGAACCGCAGCCTTAGTGTGGAGGAGGTGAACAGAGACGTAGCGAGAGTGGTCATCGACGATAACAAGGAAGTAGCGATAACCACCTCGTTCGGGAACAGGGGCAGGGCCCCAGACGTCTAGGTGTACCAGGTCCAGTGGTCCTGCTGCAACAGAGGGTGAGGCCGGGTGGGGCTGTTGACGCAGTTTGCTCTTGGTGCAGTCAAGGCACGTGGGAGCGGGGGAGTCTGGTGGTGGAGGAAGTGAGGCTGGCAGGCCGAGTAGAAGTTTCTTGGAGGCCATGTCAGCAAGTGTGCGGAAGTTTGGGTGCCCGAGCCGATGGTGGTAGAGTATGGTCGGGTTGGAGAAATTGCGGCACGAGCATGGTGAGGTAGTCGCCGCTGTTTGGGTGGTTGACACCTGTGGGATGGGTACTTGCAGCGTCTAAAGGCCGCTGCTGTTGAGGGTGAAACGAGTCAAGACCTTGTTGGTCAGTGGGTCGAGGATATCACCATAGTTCTCGTTCTCCCAGAAGATGGTGCGTAATCCAGCTTCCTGAATTTCCGTTTGGGCCACGAGATTGTGGCGAAGTGAAGGCACGCACATTCCAGTGACAGTGCCGGAAGGGAAGGCGGGGCACGGGACTGTGGATGAACCTTTGGCATGAGTAGTGAAGCTTGAGTCAGCTCCTAGGAGAGGGATGGGTGTTGCGTAGGGTTTGAAGGAGAGTGTCTCCTTGAGTATAGTGTGTGTGGCCCCGCTGTCGAGTGTGAACTCTATGTATTGTGGTGCTTGTGATGAGCCGAGGTACTGGGAGGAAGCTTCATTAATCATGGCAGTGCCAGGGAACAACAGGTTGATACGGGCATCAGCAGGAGCACTATCACTAGCACTAGCCGAAGCGGGGTCTGAGACCTCAACCATGTTGGCCTTATACGCACGCATCCAGTTCGGTGGCCTCTTGTCTATGCCGTGGATGGCGTACCATTTGTCGTCCTTCTTCTTGAAGCACGTAGCGAGGGGGTGGTTAGTGCCACCACACACTTGTCCCTTGCGGTTGCCCTACTTGACGACGTAGGTGCACGGTGGGAAGCGGTTGCGCTGGAGGGGCGCCGAGGCAAGGGCTGATGCGACACTGGCTTGAGGCATGGGAGCACGGATGGCGTAAGCCTTGGCCTGAGCCGTGGAGTCTTTCTCGGCAGAGAGGAGTGCGGTGGAGACCTTGGCAAAAGTGAGGTCTTCCGCAGTCAGCGTGAGGAGCATCTTCCTTGTGATTTCATAGGTTGTGGTGAGACCAACGAGAAGAGCTGCTGCAGGGGCCTGTTCGGGGAAGACTATACCCAACTCCTTGAGTTCGCCATGAATGGTCTGAACCTTGGCAATGTAGTCGGCCATTCCCGAGCAATCCTCAAGGCGGACCTGGAACATGCTGGGGATGAGGATGGCAACTCCGACTGCAGTCTTGTTCATGAACCGATCCTGGAGATACTTCCAGATGGCGTTGGAGGTAGGGTAGTTATGGAACGTGTTGACAACATCTGGAGGGGTGGAGGCGATGAAGACGCTGATAATTGCAGCATCGGCCTTCTCCTACTTCCGGTACTTCTCAACGGCTTCCTCATATGCCTTTGTGTCAGCCTCACTAGCGGATTCGGTCGGCTCGCAAGGGAGAAGGGGCTGTTTTCTCTTGCCACGGTTGAGGAGGACATCCTTGAGGTCCAATCCCTGCACTTCACGGCTCAGCAGGTGCTTGTCAACCCCATAGCTCCATGCCTTGAAGTTGGAGCTAGAGCCATCGGCGTCAAGACGGAGTGGGGTGATGGGGTTGGCCATGGTGGACGAGGCGAATGCCATGATGGAGACCCCTTAGGGTGTCGCGCGGAGCGCCGCTCTGGAGTCAACGATAGGAACTTGAGGTTTGGGGTTTTCGAAGGAGATTTTGAAGAACCAGAGGTTTAGGGTTTACGAAAGAGAATTTTGAGGTTTAGGGTTTCTGAAGGAGAATTCGACTCAAACGCCAATTTAGTGTCAACTACCTACTAATCCTATTCCCACACACCCCCCCACACACCACCCTTAGCTTCTCGGCTGCGCTGCTGCTCGGCTTCGCGGCTACACGGCTGCTTGGCTTCGCGGCTACGCTGCTGCTCGGCTGCGCTGCTGCACCTGTTCAGCTGCGGGAAAGGGAGGGGGATGGGGGTAGGAGTGCAGATGCGGAGCGACGGGCGGCAGCCCGAAGGTGAAGCTGCAGGGCGACGGGCGGCGGCCCGACGAGAAGCTGCAGGGCGACGGGCGACAGCCCGACGAGGAGAAGGAATGACGCGATAATGTTCGATGAAAACGAGCGATAGGTTAAAACGCCGACGATGCGCTTACCAGTGAGATAGTAGATGCCGTCGAGAGTGACGGGAAAGTGGTGCGGAAGAATTTCCGCCCACGAATGTCGCGAATCAACGGCGACGAGATTGAAGGCGGTTACGCTGAGGTTTGCGGGACGAACATCTGCAAAGATAAGAGGATCACGACCCGCGTGTGCGGTTTGAAAGGCTCTGATACCATCTTAGAACTTAGGCTTAGAAGCGATGCATTAGTAATGAGCTTGAAGCTCTTTAAATACATCCAAGGGGAGGGAATGGATGGGGAAGGGAATCGGGGGCAATCCTAGGGATTAGGGGTAATCCCAAGGCAATCCTCCAATTGGTGGTTTGGAGATTGCTTGGAGATTACATTTGGGTTTGGTTGGGATGTAGGTGTACACCCAACCAAACACAATGTGCAAACTACACTACTCTAGGATATAGAAAATACAAAGTACAAAGTGTGAGATTGAAGGCTAACACTAACACCTGACAGCAGAGGGCACCTGACAGCAGAGAGGGCACCTGACAGCAGAGAGGGCACCTGACAGCAGAGAGGGCACCTGACAGCAGAGAGAGGGCACCTGACAGCAGAGGGCACCTGACAGTAGAGAGGGCACCTGACGGCGGAGAGGGCACCTGGCGGCGGAGAGGGCACCTGGCGGCGGAGGGCGTGGAAGTAATTGGCGGGCGTGGTGAGGTTGACGACACACACGTTGTTGTCCCTCTGTGCATTGCGCCTCATCCACCTCACCATGAATGACTCCCAGTCCGCCCTGGCAGGACACACAAAGCACATGGCATATGTATGATGCATGCATGGATCTGAGTAAGAAACCTATAATCACAGCGGAGAGTACGTTGCTGCAACCAAAGCACCACGAATGCCTCTCAGTCCACCCTGGAGGCACACACGTGATGTAACCACACATGCCGGATGTATGTATGCATGTAGGGTTGAGCAAAAACACGAACACCTGTTCGGTTCGCCTCGAACTTTGGCTTAAAATGTTCGCCGAACAGTGTTCGATGTTCGCCCGAACACGTTCGTGTTCGGGCCGCTGCTGCAATTTGCCCGCGACGAACACGAACAGTGTTCGAGGTTCGCCCGAACACGCCTTCACAGGCGAACGGCGAACACCATTTTTTGCTCAAAGTGTTCGCCGAACCGAACAGTGTTCGGTTCGGCAAACGAAGGTGTTCGTGTAGGGGCGAACACGAACACGTTCGTGTTCGCCACTTGCTCATCCCTATATGCATGTATGTCGGCATGTTACGTACACACCATGAATGCCTCCCACTGACCCAGAGTTGATACCACAGAAATGATTACACGAGCTACATGTATGGATGCATGTGGTAGCTCCTTCACCAATTTGTTGGCTCACTTGGAGATTTGATTTGATTCGTCGATGTGCATCTGGTGGGCAAGCGCCGTCACGTAGTCGTGGCCCAGCCCGTACTGCGACTGCATGAACTCCAGCAAATCAGAGAGCGACACGTGGCCTTTGTTGTCTGCCATGGATTAGGGTTGGCAGGGTTGAAAAAAGAGACGTCATCACCAACAGTCCTTCTAGTACCCGCTCCTCCTCAACTGCCATCTCCGCATCAACTGCCCGCTCCGCATCAACTGCCCTCTCCGCATCAACTGCCCTCTCCGCATCAACTGCCCTCTCCGCATCAACTGCCCTCTCCGCATCAACTGCCCGCTCCGCATCAACTGCCCTCTCCGCATCAACTGCCCTCTCCGCATCAACTGCCCTCTCCGCATCAACTGCCCTCTCCGCATCAACTGCCCTCTCCGCATCAACTGCCCTCTCCGCATCAACTGCCCTCTCCGCATCAACTGCCCTCTCTGCATCAACTGCCCTCTCCGCATTAACTGCCCTCTCCGCATCAACTGCTCTCTCCGCATCAACTGCCCTCTCCGCATCAACTGCCCTCTCCGCATCAACTGCCCTCTCCGCATCAACTGCCCTCTCCGCATCAACTGCCCTCTCCGCATCAACTGCCCTCTCCACATCAACTGCCCTCTCCGCATCAACTGCCCTCTCCGCATCAACTGCCCTCTCCGCATCAACTGCCCTCTCCGCATCAACTGCCCTCTCCGCATCAACTGCCCTCTCCGCATCAACTGCCCTCTCCACATCAACTGCCCTCTCCGCATCAACTGCCCTCTCCGCATCAACTGCCCTCTCCGCATCAACTGCCCTCTCCGCATCAACTGCCCTCTCCGCATCAACTGCCATCTTCACCAAATTCCCAATCTGCATGCACTTGCTCTTCCCATGCTCTCCGTTCTTCTATGCATACCCCTCAAGCTGTTTCAGCCGGAGCACTATTTTCCATTTCTGTTGATTCACGCCCATCGACACGTCATCCAAGCACTGTTGCCACCCAGCCCACTGCCGCCCGCCCACTCACCGCGATCGGCTATGGTGAACCCCGCCTCAATCTGGGCGGCCAGGTGCGGACTGTAGCCGGGAAGGTGGTCGGCATCGTCGTTCACCAGCTGCTTGGAGATTGGTGAAGGGGAAGGAATTGGGGAGCGGAAGAAAAAGGGGGTAGGGACATTTGAGTCGACTCAAGAGCGGCCAAGTGTGGACTGTAGCCGGGAAGGTGGTCAGCATCGTCGTTCACCAGCTGCTTCCTAGTGAAGATTGGTGAAGGGGAAGGAATGGGGCAGCAGAGAGGTAAGGGAAGCGAATGGGGGAGGGCAGGGAATGGGAAAGAGGGAGGGGAGGGAATGGGAAAGAGGGAGGGGAAGAAATGGGACGGAGGTGGGGAAACAGAGGACGGAGAGTGTTGGGGGAGCGGAGGGGAGGAGGAAATGAATGGAAAAGTGGGGTGGCAGTAGGCGAAGGGATGGAAGGTGTCTAGCCGAGCTGTCACGGAGGGTAGACAGACGCGGATTGAGTGGCGTGCCATGGCCATTTGAAATCAAATAAAATCAGAAAACCTGAGGGTTCAACTGAAGGACAACCTGAACAACAACCTGCAGGTACCTCTCAGGCCCCCCAAGACCACCCACCTGCAGGTACCTCTCGAGGCGGACGGAGGAGTGTTCGGGGCCCTGGCCGTCAAAGCCGTGTGGCAGCAGCAGCGAGAAATCAGTAGCTTTTTTTGGCAGTTAAAAGATAGACCCACCCACCTGCAGGTACCTCTCAAGCTCCCCAATAGCAACCCACCTGAAGGTACCTCTCAGGCCCTCAATAGCAACCCACCTGCAGGTACCTCTCAGGCCCTCAATAGCAACCCACCTGCAGGTACCTCTCAGGCCCTCAATAGCAACCCACCTGCAGGTACCTCTCGAGGCGGGCGGAGGAGTGTTCGGGGCCCTGGCCGTCAAAGCCGTGCGGCAGCAGCAGCACAAGGCCCGTGGGGGTCATCCACTTGTCCTCCCCGCTCACTATGAAGTTGTCTATTATCGCCTGCGCGTTGTTCGCAAAGTCCCCAAACTGACCGGGGCGGGGGGAGAGAGAGAGGCAGTGGGAGGAGAGAGAAGAGAGGGAGAGGCGAGGGCAATCTGATTGGGGCAAAAAAGAGAGGGATAGGATACAGAGAGGGGCAAAGGAAGAATGGAGTGTTATAGCCCACCTGGGCCTCCGAGCAGATGAGGTTACACGAGAACACGAGCCTTGCAGGCAGGCACAGCACAAAGCACATGCCTACACTGTACGGCACACGAGCGGCCTCCTAAACCACCTGAGCCTCCCAGCAGACGAGGGTATTCTAATTTTCCAGACTAACCTGCATTCGAGACCCAGTGCACGAGAGCAGTCCATCTAACTCTCACCTCACCTGCGCCTCCCAGCAGACCGGGGCGTTTTCGTTCTCCAGGCTGAAGCCATACTCAAAGCCCAGCACTGCACGGCACACCAGCACACCACACCAGTGGCTGTACTCAAAGCCCAACTCAGCGTGGCACACACACCATTCACCTTCCCAAGTCACCTGCGCCTCCCAGCACACAAGGGCATTTTCGTTCTCCAGACTGAAGCCGTACTCGAAGCCCAGCACTGCTGCCTCTGACAGGCTCGAGTTGCACACCATGAATCGCTCCTGTCCTGCAGCCACGTGCTGCAGAGGGGTGTATCTGCAGCGGATCATGATTCACATGTGGGCCGTATTGCATGGGGTGGGAGGGAGGGAGTAGCGCACTGTGAGGGCAGAACAGCAGCCTCCGACAGCCTTGAATTGCACACCATGAACCGCTCCTGCCCCTCTGCCACGTGCTGCTGCAGCGGAGTGTGCCTGCGAGAAAGCACACAGAATGGTTGGGGTTGCATTGCATGTGGGGGGATACGGTTGCCACCAAGGCAACCAGAAAGCCCAGCACTGCTGCTTCCGACAGGCTCGAGTTACGCGGACGCCATGACCCGCTCCTGCCCTGCTGAAACACACTGCAGCGAGGTGTACCTGCAGGGAAGCAAACAGAATGGCTGGGGTTGCATTGCATGTGGGGGGATACGGGTGCCACCAACAGGTTCGAGTTATGCGGACACCATGAGCTGCTCCTGCCCTGCTGCCACGTGCTGCAGCGAGGTGTACTTGTGGTAAAGCACGCGAGTGTGTTGGGGTCGTATGGTAGGGAGGGAGTACTAGTGTGAAGTAGCAGCTCTGAACGATTGTGTATGGTATGAGATAAAGACTAGACGCTAGCATTTTTGCGAATATGGCCCCACAACCCTAGACAACATCAAACTCACCGCTGCCTCGTGGCCTGGTCATGCATGACGGCACGGCGGTGGTTGAATTGAAGGTGCCCAGGAGTGCGTGCGGGCATATAAGAGCATGCGTCGTATCCAGCTCACCGCCTCCCCCAACTCACTGCTGCCCTGTGGCCTGGTGGTCGTGCATGACTGCATGGCAGTGGCTGAAGGTGCCCCGTGAGTGTATGCGTGCATAAAAGACAGGAGCATGATGCATGTCATGTCATCACATCACATCACATCACACTCACTGCTTCCCCCAACTCACCAATGCCTCGTGATCTGGTCGTGCATGACGGCGTGGCGGTGGTTGAAGGTGCCCCATGAGTGCATGTGCACATGTAAGATGGTGCACCACACCACATCACATCACATCACATCACATCACATCACATCACATCACATCACATCACATCACACCACATCACATCACATCACATCACATCACATCACATCACATCACATCACATCACATCACATCACACCACATCACATCACATCACATCACATCACATCACATCACATCACATCACATCACATCATATCCCACTCACCGTTGCCCCGTGGTCTGGTCATGCATGGCAGCATGGCGGTGGTTGAAGGTGCCCCGCCGGGAGTCTGTGCGCACATACAAGAGCATGCATGTCATGTCATCACATCACACTCACCGTTGCCCCGTGGTCTGGTCATGCATGACAGCATGGCGGTGGTTGAAGGTGCCCCGCCGGGAGTCTGTGCGCACATACAAGAGCATGCATGTCATGTCATCACATCACACTCACCGTTGCCCCGTGGTCTGGTCATGCATGGCAGCATGGCGGTGGTTGAAGGTGCCCCGCCGGGAGTCTGTGCGCACATACAAGAGCATGCATGTCATGTCATCACATCACACTCACCGTTGCCCCGTGGTCTGGTCATGCATGGCAGCATGGCGGTGGTTGAAGGTGCCCCGCCGGGAGTCTGTGCGCACATACAAGAGCATGCATGTCATGTCATCACATCACACTCACCGTTGCCCCGTGGTCTGGTCATGCATGGCAGCATGGCGGTGGTTGAAGGTGCCCCGCCGGGAGTCTGTGCGCACATACAAGAGCATGCATGTCATGTCATCACATCACACTCACCGTTGCCCCGTGGTCTGGTCATGCATGACAGCATGGCGGTGGTTGAAGGTGCCGCGCTCACAGTCCTGCCCGCTCAGCCGCACCGCATGGGTGGGGTTGCTGTCTGCCGTCTGGTTCAGAGACGGGTCAAACGGCAGAAGAAGCGAGCTGGATGGGGGGGAGAGGAGAGGGCAAGAAGGGCGGATGGAATTGGGATGGGAAAAGGAAGCATGGGTGGGGTTGCTGTCTGCCGTCTGGTTCAGCGACGGGGTCGAATGGCAGAAGAAGCGAGCTGGAAGGGGGGCGGGAGTGGATGGGTGGTTGGGTGGGTGGGAGGGTGGGGTGGGGGCAATGGGATCGGAGTAGGAAATGTGCTGGGTTGCTGCAAGGGGATTGAATCAGGCAGATGTTAAAGAATCTAAGCAGGGAGGTGGGACTGAAAAGAGCACGGGCGGCGGGAGGAATAGAAGAGGTGGGGCTGTGGAGGCGACACGGATTCCCCAGCCTCTGCCTTCCCCAGCCTCTGCCTTCCCCAGCCTATGCGTTTCCCAGTCAATGCCTTCCCAGCCAAAGCCTTCCCCGGCCCAGCCTATGCCTTCAACAGTTTCGAAATGTCTCAACAGAGACACACAAGCGTACCTGAAGGCAAGAGCCTCTGCCATGGCCCAGTCTATGCCTTCCCCAGTTAACGTCTTTCCCAGTCTATGCCTTCCCCAGTCAACTTCTTTCCCAGTCAATGCCTTTCCCAGCCTCGGAATCTCTCAACAGTGACACACAAGCGTACCCGAAGGCAAGAGCCTCTGCCATGGCCCAGTCGATGCCTTCCCCAGTTGCCATCATTTTGCGGCGATTCTCCAGCAGCAATGCCACCTGGCAGTGCACCCGGGGCGCAGGAAGGAGAGGGGGGGGGGGGGGGGGGTGGGGGGGGTCGGTTTCGAGCAGGGTGAGAAGGGAGAGCGTGTCTTGAGTCGACTAAAAAGAGGTTCTTCAGCAGCGATACCACCTGGCTGGCAGTGCACCCGTGGGGGTTCGAGCAAAGTGAGTAACGGAGAGCGGGGAAGCAGCGGATGAGGAGGATGAGAAAAGAGAGAAGGGCGGGGTATGGGGTAAGCAAGGAGGAAGAGGGAGGAAGAAATCAGTTGCTATCCTCCTGCAGTGAGCTACGTGACAGGTGCACCAGGTGGGATGAGGGCGAGAAACAGAGGGAAGCACGGATGAGAAGGGAGGAGAGAAAAGCGGAAGGAGGCAAGGGAGGAGCAAGGAAGAAAGGGACACGGAGGAAGCATGGGACAGGGAGGGAGGAGGGGATCAGTCAGTGGTTGTGATCTTGCGGCAATCGCCCAAAAAGGATGACGGCAAATAGCAAGGGATGATCTTGGTATAAGAGGAGGCATGACCGTACATACGCTCTGGGTGCATTCTGAAGGGAAACATGAGTGGTGTTGTGTGGATGATTAACACTGCTGTGTGAGCAATGAATGATGCTGCTGGATATTGGAGGGTTGCTCTGCGTTGCTTATGGTTGTGTTGCTCATGGTTGTGTTGCTTATGGTTGTGTTGCTTATGGTTGTGTTGCTTATTGTTGTGTTGCTTATGGTTGTTTGGTTGTGCGTACCGCTCACGATAAGTAGCTCAAATGCACCCATGCATGCATGCAGCATGTGCACACAGTGAAAGTGAAGTGTGACCTTTCAAGCTGGTTTCAGAAGCAAGGGTCAGAACAGTACCTGAGGGTGTAAGGTGAAGTCCGGTGGTACAGTGCAGAGCGCATCCCCCTGCAACATGTGGGATGGGAAGGGAACGCGTGAGGTCGGTACAACATGGGAACGTGTGTGGTCATGACACGTGAGAACAAGTGAGGCCGTGACTCATAACAGCATTGAGCACGTGAAACCGTAGAAAACGCCTGATCCGCCAGGCAGCCCCCAATACCAACTTCTCCATGTTCACCTCTCCCTTGCCATCGCTTCCCCCCTGTTTTCCTCCCCCCTTCCCCCTCCACCATCCTTCCCCTCACCGTCCTTTCCACCTCACCATCTCGGCCTCCCTTCACCATCTCCCCGGTTCCTCCCTTCACCATCTCCCCGGTTCCTCCCTTCACCATCTCCCCGGTTCCTCCCTTCACCATCTCCCCGGTTCCTCCCTTCACCATCTCCCCGGTTCCTCCCTTCACCATCTCCCCGGTTCCTCCCTTCACCATCTCCCCGGTTCCTCCCTTCACCATCTCCCCGGTTCCTCCCTTCACCATCTCCCCGGTTCCTCCCTTCACCATCTCCCCGGTTCCTCCCTTCACCATCTCCCCGGTTCCTCCCTTCACCATCTCCCCGGTTCCTCCCTTCACCATCTCCCCGGTTCCTCCCTTCACCATCTCCCCGGTTCCTCCCTTCACCATCTCCCCGGTTCCTCCCTTCACCATCTCCCCGGTTCCTCCCTTCACCATCTCCCCGGTTCCTCACCACGCGTTGCAAGGTCTTGAGGGGAAGGCCAGTGGGCTGCACCTTGCGCTGACTCACCAGCGATCCAAGCGCCTCCCCTGCCATGCCATGAGAATCAGATTGACAAGTCATGAGATGCTACATGGCAGTGGCAGACTGAGAGCACACATATACGCCATGCCATGCTCTGTTCCCTTACCAAGCTGCCTGGGTTTCCAAAAACATTCCATCCATCTCAGCATGTTAATGCTAGCTGTCGAAACGATTGCAAGCTGTACAGACGAAATGTTGGCAGTACCTTGCCAGTTGGCAGCAAGCCAATCCTGTGGCGACACTTGTTGCTTGCTGGTGTTCTCAAACGCACGCTCAAACTCAGCCTCCACGTCAGCCTGCCAGCTGGCGATCTCCTGAGGGGGATGCGGATGGATGGAGGAGATGCAGCATGTGGTGTGCGCAGATGCATCGTCTGGATGTGTGTGCATCGACATGCATATGTATGGACGTGCATGCCCACTTGTGCACATGCTATGGTGTGTGCGAGAACAACCCATTCCAATTTATGTGCAACCCTGAAGCACCCGTGTCGACACACCGCCGCTCCCATCCACTGTCACCAATCACATCAACAATCACCTCACCTCATGCACATCGTAGAAACCCCATCAAACTCCCCTCTTCTGTGACCCCGTCCATACAGCACAGTTGCAGGCAGGACACGTGGCACGTGACTGGTGTGAATGGCACAACACGCACTCCTTGCACTCACCTCCGCTGTAACCACCTCCTCTGCCATGAACCGTGCGGCGTGGAGCTGAAGGCATGGAAGGTGGGCGTGTACCAGCAGTGCAGCACTCACATCTGCTGTAACCAGCAGTGCAGCACTCACATCTGCTGTAACCGCCAACAGTGGAGTTACAGATAGGCACGACACGTGGCTCATGTGAATGGCACAACGCTTCTTCACTCACCTCCGCTGTAACCACCTCCTCTGCCATGAGCCGCGAGGCATACAGCTGAAGGCATGGCGGGTGGGAGTCTACTAGAGAGTACATCAGGGGCTGTGTCACTCGTGGGTCGTCCTGTAAAGAGGAACACGGGCCGGTTGGGAGGAGTGGGGAGGAATAAGTTTATATTGGTGTGCACATGTTTGCGAATGGAAGGGTGGGCGTCCACGGTCCACCAGAGCGTACATCAGGGGTTGTGTCACTCGTGGGTCGTCCTGTAAAGAGAAGAAGGGGGCGGTTGGGAGGAGGGGGGAAGAATCAGATTATATTGGTGTGCATATGAGAGTACATCAGCGGATACGTCCTGTGGTGGGAAGGAGGGAGTAGGACGGACAGGGGGTAAGAGATAGGGAGCGGATTGAGCGCCCTGCATCGATCGATGCTGCCTTGTCAGGAACGGCGCGTGCTTGTGTGCATGCGTGCGCGCATACGTGTGTGCGTATATGTTATGTGCAGTGCAGCGTCTTTTGAGACGTCTCAAAAGGAGCGCATACGTGTGTGCGTATATGTTATGTGCAGTGCAGCGTCTTTTGAGACGTCTCAAAAGGAGCGCATACGTGTGTGCGTATATGTTATGTGCAGTGCAGCGTCTTTTGAGACGTCTCAAAAGGAGCGCATACGTGTGTGCGTATATGTTATGTGCAGTGCAGCATAGCACCTGCGTTGCTCATACGTATGCTCACATACTCGCACGCTGAAATGCCAACACGTGCAGTCTAGCTAGCATGCCCACCTGCTTGTTGTGCCCATGTCGCCTGTAGCACACGAGGTCCACCCCTACATCCTTGCCGTCTGCGCCTCCACCCACACACATGCTCCCATGCTTGCACGCACCCATTGCTGGCATCGCAAGTGCACTCTAGGGAAGAGATTCTCACCTGCCCATTGTGCCCATGTCGCCTGTAGCACACGAGGTCCACCACTACATCCTTGCCGAGGGTCTGCCCCCCTTCCACACACATGCACAGCATGCATGCACATGGTCACATGCACAGCATGCATGCACATGGTCACATGCACAGCATGCATGCACATGGTCACATGCTCAGCATGCATGCACATGGTCACATGCACAGCATGCATGCACATGGTCACATGCTCAGCATGCATGCACATGGTCACATGCACAGCATGCATGCACATGGTCACATGCTCAGCATGCATGCACATGGTCACATGCACAGCGTGCATGCACATGGTCACATGCTCAGCATGCATGCACATGGTCACATGCACAGCATGCATGCACATGGTCACATGCTCAGCATGCATGCACATGGTCACATGCACAGCATGCATGCACATGGTCACATGCTCAGCATGCATGCACATGGTCACATGCACAGCGTGCATGCACATGGTCACATGCTCAAAGACTCCCGTGGTCCCATGCTCAACTAATATTCTGGCATGCTCACCTGCTCGTTGTGGCCATGCCTCCTGTAGCACACGAGATCCACCACCACATCCTTGCCGAATGTCTGCTCCCCATGCACATGCCACATGCCGCACCATGCACGCACATGCACATGCCACATGATGCACCATGCACGCACATGCACATGCCACATGATGCACCATGCACGCACATGCACATGCCACATGATGCACCATGCACGCACATGCACATGCCACATGCCGCACCATGCACGCACATGCACATGCCACATGCTGCACCATGCATGCACATGCACATGCCACATGCCGCACCATGCACGCACATGCACATGCCACATGCCGCACCATGCACGCGCCGCACCATGCACACACATGCACATGCCACATGCCGCACCATGCCCGCACATGCACATACCACATGCCGCACCATGCACGCACATGCACATGCCACATGCCGCACCATGCACGCACATGCACATGCCACATGCCGCACCATGCATGCACATGCACATGCCACGTGCCGCACCATGCACGCACATGCACATGCCACATGCTGCACCGTGCATGCGCCACACCATGCACACACATGCACATGCCACATGCCGCACCATGCACGCACATGCACATGCCACATGCCGCACCATGCACGCACATGCACATGCCACATGATGCACCATGCACGCACATGCACATGCCACATGATGCACCATGCATGCCACATGCCGCACCATGCACGCACATGCACATGCCACATGATGCACCATGCATGCACATGCCATGGCACATGATGCATCATGTATGTACAACACATGATGCAAGCACATGGGTAACACAGCAAATTATGCGTGTATGCGATATTGCATACAAGTTGCATGGGCTACATAATGAGTTCACTATTCAAACGGCCCCACATCACATGGCATGTCGCACATGGGAAGGAACTCACGGCAATCGGCAAATGGCATGAATGGAATGGAGTGGGTGGGCAACACACACACTCCTGCAACGGAACACAATGCACCGCGCACCTGGCGCCAGTCGACAGCGAGGGAGCAGATGTGAGCCACTGCCTCGGGATCATCGGCGTTCACATGGAATATGGGCGCCCCCACTGCCTGCAGCAAGAGGGGCAGGAAGAGGTGGTTGGTTCAAACTGCCTGCCACCAGTGCCTGCAGCAAGAGAGCATGGGACGGAGGGCCTGGTTGGTTCTATTGGAGGCCACAGCTGCTTTAAGATTATCAACGTTCACATGAAACATGGTCGCCCCCACTGCTCTTCACAGCCGTGCTTTGAGCCGTGTTTTGAGTCGACTCAAAACATGGGCGCCCCCACCCACTACCTGCAGCAAGGAGGGACAAAAGACTTGAATGGTTCGATGGCGCCCCTACTGCATGCAACAAAGGTGATACAGAATACCTAGTTAGTTCAACTTTATTATATGATCTGCTGCTGACCTTCCCCTGCCAGCTGACCTACTCGATTCTATGATACGCCCTTACTCGATTGTAAGGTGCAACCCTTTAACTGCCGGCTCACCTTAGCAAAGTTAGAGGAGTGGGGGAAGGAGCGGGCGAGCTTGGGGTAGGTCGGTGGTGAGCCCGATCTGATTGTTGATGATCACGTGGATCGTGCCGCTGCCGCCTTCATATACGTTTCCACATGCACCATGCCTTCATTTCATGACTTGTTTTCCATGTAAGAAAATCAGCAAAAACTCTCTTTTACTACTCGGTTAGCTCTAACCCTCCTTCTCTGCCGCCTCCCCTCCTCACCTTGGCGAAGTCAGAGGGGTGGGGGGAGGAGCGAGCAAGCTTCGGATCGGTGGTGAATCCGATCTGATTGTTGATGATCACGTGGATCGTGCCGCCCGTTGTGTACTCTGGTAGGTCCGACAGCTGCTCCGTTAGGGTGAAGAGAGGGGTTTAGAGCGGTTGAGAGGGAGAGAAAGGACAGGCGGTGGGGTTGTGATAGCTGATTGGTGTCCTTATGCAGTTCAGCATCAAAAGGCGTTTTTTTTTATTCTAAAAAATCTCTGTCGAGGGGGCATACTGGAAAGCATTGATTACAAAAATATTGTTTTTGTGTGAAATAAGGGATTGGGTGCTTCCCTGCCTCAACCACCACATCAGATATTCCCTACCTGCAGAAACTGCCGTACTAGCAGCACTGCCATACCTGCAGCACTGCCATACCTGCAGCACTGCCGTGCCTGCAGCACAGGCTCACCTGCAGGTTCGGCCGTACCTGCAGCACCTCAGGAGCGAGGCCAAGGCCACTGAAGGCTGCATCTCCGTGCAGAATGAGACCCTGGCAGGGAGCGAGGGCAGTCAGGCATGGTGAGGAAGATGCAAGGAGGTGCAGAGGGATGCAAGGAGGTACGGAGGGATCTAAGGAGGTGCAGAGGGATGCAACGAGGTGCATGAAGATGCAATCAAGAAAGGTGAACAAAAGGGTCCTGCTCTCATTCAAAGCCAGGCCAAGGCCAGCCGAGGCAGCACCAAGCGTATGAGAACATTAGGCAGAAGGCAAGGCACAGACCATAATGGATCGCGTGGAGGTGTTGTTTGTGACGGGCTGCTTGGCTCACAAGACAACAGAGCTTGTGGTGACATGGTGACACAGCCATAAGACAACACAGTGGGCGTCACGTCACGCTGGGAATTTGGCTTCCGGCACAGCACCACATCTCACCGCATAGCACCGCACAGCACCCACCATGACGGAGCGCCTGGAGGAGTCGTTGGTGAAGAGCTGCTTGGCTCTGGCCTTGCCCACCACGACCGGATCCACGAGCTCCAGATGGCTGGGGTTGGGCAGTAGCGACACTTGCACCTGCACTAGTGGGAGCATGGTGAGGCATGGCGAGGTGGAATGGGGAATGAGGGTGGAGTTTAATTTGAGCTAATCCTTTCCTCTGGCCTTGCCCACCACAACCGGATCCACCAGCTCCAGATGGCTGGGGTTGGGCAGTAGAGACACTTGCACCTGCACTGGTGGGAGCATGGTGATGCATCATGCATGGCGGAACGACAAGTTGAAGTGCGCCTTCAATGTGACAGAACCTCCAGTCCCCATGCTCCAAATGGCTTACATGGTGCCATGATGGTGAACAGGAAACCAAGGTCAACAGGAAACCAAGGTCAACAGCAAGGTGCAAAAAAACGGCCGAAACTTTGAAATTTCGGCGTAAAAAACGGTATCGTAGTTTTCGGTCGTAAAAAACGGTTTAAAACGGTAAAACCATGTCATTTTGTGCTGGTGCAAAAAAAACGGCCGTTTTTTTCGGCCAAAACTTTGAAACCATCGTTGTTACTCATAATTAGTGGATTTTTAAAGGGGATAGGAATTGACCGGCGGTTTCACTGACGATTTCCGACTTGCGGCTCGGTGAATTTTCTCGAGCCGCGAATTCAGTCTAAACCGAGTCGCGCATTTCAACATTTGACGACAGGATTACATGTTTCGCCAAATGCTGACAGTTTTCGCGCCAGCTGACAATGTGTTTTCTCGCATACAGAGGGTGTCGCAATTTTCGCGCAATGCTAATACAAAGCGCGACCAATCAGATTACCCCTACAGTGTTGGTCGAGTCGCCCCGAATGCAGCATTTCGCGATCGCGAACCGAAGACATTACCCGCTTTGTTAAATTTGTAAAATTTTCGCGCTAGAAACGAAAATGTTTCGCGCATGCGGGGTGTGTCGCAAAGCGCATGCCACTCGAGAGTCGCGACCAATCACAGCAGCCCAAGCCCAATCTTCCGAAGTGAGTTGCTCATCCTCAACTCGACAATGCACTTCAGCTCCCGAAGTACAAAGAGGCTCTGTCCATGGCCTCTTAACTCATAGCCACAGAGGCTATTCCAGCACTCTCTCTATCAGATTAGCCACCCCAAGCCTTGCACCATGGTTCGATCGCAGTCACGCTATTGGCTGCACGTCAAGAAAGAGACGGCGGAAGATGGTACAATCACTAGCTGCGTGTGTCTTCACTGCCATTTGCCGGTAACCCCAAACGCAGCTAGAATTGGGGAGCACCTTTTAGGCACTCCAAGCTCCAAGCATAAGAACATAGCGATCTGCGAATCAGATTATGCGAAGCAGCTGCGAGCGTCGTCTGTCGAGGAGCGTTCGGCCTTTGAAGACGGCTCTAATGGAGCGTCTACGTCCACTATGGAGGTGCAGTTACCCCGGCGCTCACGGCAGCGGGACATTCGGGAGATGGCCGACGTGACAGCGCGCGGACGCTTGGACTACCTGTGGGCGGCTGCTGTGGCGGAAAACGACCTGGCGTTTAGGACGTCTTCGTCTAAGGCGATGCAAGCGTTTGTGGATGCAGTCGCCGCATTCGGGAAGGCCTACACCTTACCTTCGGCATACAAGGTGGCGGGCCCACTTCTTGTCAAGTTGAAGCTCGACACGGAGGAGCTCATCAAGCCAATCAAAGAGAGTTGACCGAGAAGCGGATGCACCCTCACGATGGACGGTTGGACGTGCCTCAAAAGCCGGGGCATGATTTGCGTCATCGCCCAAAACGACACCGCGCCGGTGATTGTGGACTGCGTCGACTCCAAAACCGCGAAGAAAACTGGAGAGTACCTTGCGAAGCTCATCCAACATGCGATTTGCGAGGTGGGGGACAGCCACGTTGTCCAAGTCGTCATGGACAACGCGGCTAACAAGCGCGCGGCAACCTTGCTCAAGGACGAGTACTCGCAAGTCTTCTTCACCAGTTGTGCGCCCCACGTCTTGGACCTCATGCTTCACGATATGGGGAAGGTCAAGGCGGTGAAGAGGGTCCTCAACCAGGTGCATCGGGTTGTGATGATGGTCAAGGGGAGTGCCTCGGCCGTCACACTTTTCCGTGAGTTGTTTAGCAAGCAAGCGCTTGTCCGACCTGGTGCTACTCGTTTTGGAACGCAAGTGATCATGATCGAGCGTTTCCTTGAGGTTAAAAAGACATTGAAGGAGATGGTGATTAGTGAGGAGTGGAAAAGTGTGGCGGTGGCGAACACGGAGGAGGGGCAGGCTATCCGTGGTCTCCTCTTGGAGGAGACGTTTTGGGACTCCGTCACGGCCATTCTCGGCCTCATGAAGCCCATCTACAAGGTGCTACGCATCGTTGACCGGCGGTCCCTTGTGATGGGGAGCGTCTACGGCCTCATGCTTGAGGCTACGGTCAAGACCAACGAAGCGGCAACGAAGACGGGTAAGTTCAATGTATTAGACATATGAATCAATAAGTTCAACGATTCTGTCCCTACCCTACACCAGCCACACCGACGTTATTACTCACCATGAATTTGTTGCTCTTACCGCGTGCGCAGCTGCCCAACTCTCCAAGAAAACCGGTTTGCTTCCGGGAAACGAGAAGGCCGCGTTTCTTGCTGCGTTTAAGGCTATCATAGCCAACCGATGGGACGGACAGCTGCACAACCCCCTCCACGCCTTGGGGTGGCTTCTAAACCCGAAGAATCAGTACGTAGGCGAGATTCGGGAGGATCCCGAACTGAGGGCGGGGGCTGAAGAGGTGTTTAAGGCAAGGGGGGGCAGTGTTGAGATGCGGACGATGCTAGCGGTGCAACTAGCCGCTTTTCACAAGGGAGAGGGGAAGTTGGGGTCTGTAGATGCGCGGTGGGCTGCCACCATCTTGGTGGAGAGCGGGAGGCTCTCCGCGGCTGAGTGGTGGGCGCTGTATGGGGGTGAGGTTCGTGCTTTGCAAAAGGTTGCGGTGATGTTGCTCTCCCAGCCCGTGACTTCATCCGAGGTCGAGCGGTATTGGTCCGCTCTCGCAAGGGTCCAAAGGCGGGACCGCAACCGGCTGAATGCCACGTCCATGATGGACGTGGCATTCGTGGCATTTGGCCGGCGAGCTCGGGAGTCCTACGACAAAAAAACAGAGGCCCGTGCTAAGCTCTACAGCGAGCTGAGCAATGGTTCGCTGCAGGAGGGCAGCACCAGCGTGCTTCTTTCTCTTCCGGTGGAGGCGGAGGTGGATGAGGAGGAGGAGGCGGGGGGGGAGCCGTGTACCATTGACTGGGACACCTTCGGGAACATTGGCAAGCGGGTGACCAAAAGGAAACGCGCAAATCTGAAGAAGAAGAAGAAGAGTGCTTCCAAGGGCAGCGGGTCCCGCAAGGGGAAGGAGAAGGTTTGTGAGGAAGAGGAAGAAGAGGCGGAGGATGGGAGCAGTGCTGATGACAGTGGTCCGGATGAACCAACCAAGCGGAAGAACAAGGGGGTGAATGCGTGGGATTGTAGCGACGGGAGTAGCGGGGAGGAGGAGGATGACGAGGAGGATGAGGAAGAGGAGGAGAATTAGGACTAGGTAGGGGAGGAGGGGCCTGAAGGATAAGGACTAAGTAGGAGGAGGGGGCTGAAGGATAACTTATCGGTAAGTGGAGGGGGCTGAAGGGTAAGGACTAGATCAGAGGAGGGGGCTGAAGGGTAAGGACTAGATCAGAGGAGGGGGCTGAAGGGTAAGGACTAGATCAGAGGAGGGGGCTGAAGGGTAAGGACTAGGTAAGAGGGGGTAGAAGGAGTAGGAGTAGGTAGTTAGGAGGAAGGAGGAGGGACCTGACTGTGTTTGCTCATTTCTGACTAGTTTTTAGCATGTTACTTTCTGTTTGTATGCTGCCCTGTTCTGGAATCATCTATGAACCCTTTCTGTTTTTTTTTTTTTTTTTGGCACAAAAATCTCCAACAAAAAAACGGCCGAAATTTTGAAAAAACAGCGTAAACGGAGCGTATTTTACCCCAACCGAAATTTTGAACCTTGGTCAACAGGAAACCAAGGTCAACAGGAAACCAAGGTCAACAGGAGAGAGAGGGGGAACACCAGGACACAGCACATGCGAGCGTGCAACAGGGGTGCTAGAAGAGTGAGAAATTCGAGGCAGATGGAGAGCAGAGGCGACAGGTTAGGGAGCAAGGGCAAGAGTAAGATGAGTATGTTTCGTGTTGTGCTGTGCTGTGCTGTACTGTGCTGTACTGTGCTGTGCTGTGCTGTACTGTGCTGTACTGTGCTGTACTGTGCTGTGCTGCGCTGCGCTGCGCTGTGTTGTGCTGTGCTGCGCTGCGCTGTGCTGTGCTGTGCTGTGCTGTGCTGTGCTGTGCTGTGCTGTGCTGTGCTGTGCTGTGCTGTGCTGTGCTGTGCTGTGCTGTGCTGTGCTGCGCTGTGCTGTACTGTGCTGCGCTGCGCTGTGCTGTGCTGTGCTGCGCTGTGCTGTGCTGTGCTGTGTTGCGCTGCACTGTGCTGTGCTGTGGTGTGGTGTGGTGTGGTGTGGTGGGGGGAGGAAGGGGGGAAAGGCCGTGAGGGCATCTGGCTTCAAAGAAACTGTGCTCACCTGGTTGCTTTCAAACTCGAGTGTGGAACGGGTACCCTGCCATGTGATGCGATGCGATGCGATGCGATGTGATGTGATGTGATGTGATGTGATGTGATGTGATGTGATGTGATGTGATGTGATGTGATGTGATGTGATGTGATGTGATGTGATGTGATGTGATGTGATGTGATGTGATGTGATGTGATGCCACAGAATGCATATGCATGCAATGCAAGAAGAAACACAATGGTGTGTAAACAATGTCATGCGGGACAGTGCCATGCCATGTCAGACAATGCAGATTCACATAATGCCAATCCACACATTACCATTTTCCACAATGCCGCATCACACAATGCCACGTTGCACAAGCAAAGTGTGAGGAAACTATGAAGTACGTCAAACACAATGTTGAATGCCACCTTCTGCAAATGTGATTGGACGAGGAGCAAAGGAAGAAGAAAGGCAATATATATATATATATATATATATATATATATATATATAAAAACAGAAGACAAGAAATGGGCGGTAGGCACCTGGGGGCGCATACCAGGTGGTACTTGACGTCGCCCACTTGCAGCAGCTCTGAGAGTTCAGGTGAAACTTCAGGTGGTTTGAACTCGGACAAGATGGAGCTCAGGGGCTTTCCCAGGACCGCGTGCAGCACACTCAGTCGACCTCTTTTGGAATGTGGGTGGGTGGAAGTGGAAGGGGGCGCAGGGGGGAAGTGGGGAAAGCGGGGAAAGCGGAGAGGGGGAAGGTGAAGGACGAGGGGAGTGAGTGAGTGAGGGCAGGGCTGGGTACGGCACGAGTAGACTGGAACTGGGTCACCGTAATTGTCTTAAACATCTCAAAATACGCCTACAGCACAGGAGTTTGTTGCAGATCATACATACGGTCATTGCATGCGTGGGGAAGGGGGGAAAGTCAACAAGGGAGAATCGCACAAGCCATGACCGCCTGATGCGGCCCACTGATACCATGCAGTGATGGCTCCGACACAGCCTCCCCGCGACCCAGTTAGCCTCTACACTTCCCTCCCGTAGAACCATCCCCCCTCCTCCCCCAATGCGCCATGCCCACTTGTGCACCCCACCACCCACCTATGCGCCATGCCCACTTGTGCACCCCACCACCCACCTATGCGCCATGCCCACTTGTGCACCCCACCACCCACCTATGCGCCATGCCCACTTGTGCACCCCACCACCCACGTATGCGCCATGCCCACTTGTGCACCCCACCACCCACCTATGCGCCATGCCCACTTGTGCACCCCACCACCCACGTATGCGCCATGCCCACTTGTGCACCCCACCACCCACCTATGCGCCATGCCCACTTGTGCACCCCACCACCCACCTATGCGCCATGCCCACTTGTGCACCCCACCACCCACCTGTGCGCCCCACCCCACCCACCTGTGCGCCATGCCCAGCTCGACAAACTTAACGCCGCTGCCAGCCGCCCGCCCCAGCAGAGCCAGCAGCCCCGGCACCAGCGCCTCCCCGCCCTCGATGCCAAACCGCTTCACCGATGGGAACTTGCGCGCGAGAAAGCGCTCAAAGGCATCTGTATGGAGATGAGCAGGGGTCGAGGTGGGTGGGGAGGGGTAGTGGGTTGTGTGGTGAGAGACTGGCACCAGCGCCTCCCCGCCCTCGATGCCAAAGCGCTTCACCAAAGGGAACCCGCATGAGGAAACGCTCTACCGCGCCTGCGTGGGGAGGGAGGGGATGGGCGTGGAGGGTTGCATGGGCAAGGATGATGAGGGTGCTTTTGAGGCGCCTCAAAAGTTGCATGGGCAAGGATGATGAGGGTGCAAGCGCAACCTCTCCGCATCCATGTCATGAGGCTGTTCAACTCACGAGGCTGTTCAACTCATTTCCCACTCACAGATTGTTTCAGTTGGCTGCTTGCTCTTGCAAAGGGCATCAGCTCTCACCCGTCCCACTGCTCACACACACGCATGCAGCAGTATGCACAGCACATGCGCTTTCACCCACCCCAGCTCTCACCCACCCCAGCTCTCACCCACCCCAGCTCTCACCCACCCCAGCTCTCACCCACCCCAGCTCTCACCCACCCCAGCTCTCACCCACCCCAGGTCTCACCCACCCCAGCTCTCACCCACCCCAGCTCTCACCCACCCCAGGTCTCACCCACCCCAGTTTCCACCCACCCCAGTTTTTCACCCATCCCAGGTCTCACCCACCCGAGTTCTCATCCACCCACCCCAGGTCTTACCGGCGTACAGCAGGCGGTGCAGCAGGTGGCGCTGCTGGGTTGGTGAGAAGAGCTGGCGCAGGGGGGGCCGTTCCATGGCGGCCTGCACCCACCGCTTCTGCTGCCTGCTGGCCAGGTGTGCGCACTCCACTGTGCTCGTGCGGCAGTACGCGTTGCGCAGCAGCCCCACCACCTCCTCCACCGTCCAGAACAGCTGTGCTGCCCTCACGATGCGCAGCTGCTCCCCCAGAAAGTACCTGTAACGAGGGAGGGGCGGGAAGAGAGATGATGCAAGGAGGGGGTAAGCAGCCCCCCACCACCTCCTCTACTCTCTAAACAGTCGCACCGCCCACACGATGCGCCGCTGCTCTCCCAGGAAGTACCTGCCAGGTGTGCGTTGCGAGGGAGTAGGATAATTGGTGGAGCAAGGCAAAGAAAAGGGGCTGAAAGCAGCCCCACCACCTCCTCCACCGTCCAGAACAACTGCGCCGCCCGCACGATCCTCAGCTGCTCTCCTAGAAAGTACCTGCCAGGTGTGCGTTTCGAGGTAGTGGGATGATGAGATGAGGGCAAGGTAAGGCGGCGGCTGTGAGCAGCCCAGCCCCACCACCTCGTCCACCGTCCACAACAGCTGTGCCGCCCGCACGATCCTCACCTCAGCTGCTCTCCTAGAAAGTACCTGCCATCAAGCTTTCAGGTTGTGCTTGCATTTGAAGGCTATTTTCTAGGGGCAATTAAAGCCTAATTTATACTCTTAAGCGTGCGTTTGCTACCGTACCTCTTTTTCACATCGATGCCTGCCAGACCAACCGCGCCCAGGTCCAGCTCCGGGTAGTTCCGAAGCAAGCGAAACAGGTCCGGCGCGTTCTCAGGCTCGGGCAGAGCCGAGACGGCACTGCTGCCAGCAGCACTGCTTCCCTTCCTACCAGCACCTGCAGTCTGCGATGTCCTGCTCACCCCAGCTAGCGCCCACGCCTTGCCCTTGCTGCCTGGTTTAGTGAAGGAGGAGGAATCGGCAGCTGCTGCAGCAGCAGCAGCTGCGGGCGGCTGAGCGTTGTCCTTGAGGGGACCTAGGTGCCGCCCCAAGGGGTCTGCCCGGGGTCCGTGACGTGAGGGGGGACACCAAGGGCAGAAGGCGGGTGGAATGTGGTGGTGTGGGAGTGGGAGGTGAGAAGGGCCATGCATGGTTGAAGGAAAGAGCAAAAGAGGGGAGGGAGCCAGCCTTGGCTTGGCAAGATGCAAGTCGACTGTAGAGCCAAATTGATGGTGAAGTGGTGGCTTTTTTTCCATCGATTCCCTGTTGTTCTTACCTAGCTGTGCGACGTAGTGACCTCTGTCTCTGAACGCCTTAACGAGTGACACTATAGCGAGCGTCTCCGACACCTCCTGCAAGTCCGTGTCACTCGACACCCGGCGAGCGCCGCCCTGACGTGCGAACGTGCTCGCGAAAGGGCTCGCGAAGGCACTGGCGAAAGAACCTGCGAAGGGACTGGCGAAGGGATTGGCGAATGAGCTGGCAACTAACACAGGCGCTGCAGGTGCTGCCTTCCGCTCCCAAGGCACCCTCTCCCATGGCCGGTAGCTGGCCGGCTGGCTGACGGCAGTCGACAGACGAGGCTGGTCGAAGTTACCGGCGGCGAAACGGCGCGACCGGCCATTCTGACGGACGATCCTGCTCGCAATACGAGCGCAAACATTGCGGCGGGTTGAGAGAGCGGATAGTAGGCTCGCGTGAACTGGTGAGGAAGAAGAAGCGTGCGTGGATTTTGCCGAGCCGGAAATAGCTTGGATGGTTCGCGTATGTAACCCACGGTCAGTCCTGCCAGCTGTAGGAGGCTCTGTGGGTGCCTGCTGTCGCGACGCGCAGCTGTAGCGGGCTCGCAGGGCACGACAAAGTTCGTTCGGGCCTCGTCGGCCAGCCCTGCCGTGCGACAGGTGCGACATGGCGCCGTTGTGCGACCTTAACCGTGCGATGTCATCTCACGAGGACGCGGCATTGTCGGTGGGAGCCTTCACGCAGCAAAAGACCATGGCCGATTATGCCTAACAGCAATACGTGAGTTGGCCTGAATACAAACATAGCACTTGGTAACATCAGAGGGGCGTGAATTGTGAAATGCGTGGGGCTCGGCACACAAGTGAACGGCCCCCAGAGTGAAACGCGCGCTGGCGTGTCATAAAAAGTGTGTGTAGCATGTAAGCTGGTGACGTGACGAATGAGCCGTTCCGGATTCAGCATCGTACTCTGTGCTCGACTAACCTGACAGAAAGTGAACTTTCATGACACACGCTCGGCTGTTACGAAACGGAACGATTGCAGTTCACCTCGGTCCAATGAAAAAAAATTGGCCGCTCAGTACAAGAGCCGTTCCTTCCGTCAATCCCGAGGCCGAACACGTCATAATGCCATTGCCAGCTCCGTGACGTGGCAAAAGGTACAGATGTACCTTGCGCTGAATTTCATGACATTCCATCCGAACCCCACACAAAGCAATGCTCGCTATCGCCCCCTTCAGTATCATGTTACTCCAAATTAGGAAGTTTTAGATAGGGTTATTGAGTGCATGTTGTGTGCATTGAGAACTTCATGTTACAAATCGGTAACTCCTTTCGCCTAATGCTCAGTCCAGGGCAATAAGCACATCAGAGCACCAAAAAGAGTCGCTTACGATTTCAGCAAGCCATGGCAGTCAGCTTTAGTAGTCAGCAGGCGGTATCTTTAGGGACACTCGAAGTTTCCTCGCTTGGCCCATGTTACCGCACTTCTTCGCAAGGCTTCGTTAGTCTTGCGTCACGCAATCTCGCGACCAGGTTCAGCGAATTCCGCGTGTCTGTTTCAGTGCCGTCACCCAGCTCGGCTCCCACCTCTTCCGCCACCCCCGGTCCGCCTGCGCCAGACTTTCTCCGCCTCCGCGGAGCCACGCGCGCAGCTTCTGGTGCGCAATCCGCGCAAAGTAGAAGCGGAAGACACGCGCAAGTTTCAGACTCAGGAGCAAAAGATGGACGGGAAGAGCGGAGGAAATCGGAAACCGCGAAAGAGCCTAGCGGCTCTGCTGACGTGGGCTCCTCGGATAGGCTGATATTGGATCAGCAGCAGCGACGATGGGCTGACGTGGCAGCTGACATGGACTTCCTGACTAGGACAGTCCGACTAGTGCAGGTACAACCAACGGCAGAAACCTCCGGGAAAGTGGATACCTAACCACAGTTATTTGGCACCCAGGAAGCTAGGGTAGCGGGGATAGGAGGGAGGGCCAAGGGGGAGAAACGGGAAAGGGGGGGGAGAAAGGCAGAGGGGAGGAGTTGATTGTGCGTAGGTGGCATGCAAGATTCAGAATCTGTGGATCTTGGAGCTTTCAATGGTTCCTGCATTCCGCATGGCACGCATTTCCTTGGTTCTTCCGCCCATCGAGCCTCAAACCCTAGAACACAAACCCTAGACCCGGTACCCGTGGTGAGAACGCGAGAGGTCTATGCCGCCCACCTCAGGATTCCTCCTAATAAGACTCGGAACGCTTATGTATTCACGCAGGAGCGAACGCCTGTACCAAAAACTGCTGGGGGGGATCATGATGAACGCCTGTACTCATGTGTTACCATGCCCCCCCTGCTTCCTCCCCCATCTCCACCTGCATCTCCTGTGGTGATCCTCCCCCGTACTCCTCCTTTGGCTGACTTCCCGCACCCTCCCCTCCTCCATGCTTCCGCCATCCGCCCAGCTACTCTCACCCCTATACCTTTCCCCAGACCCCGTCCTGCCTTCCTTCCAACTCCAATAACCCCCCTCCCCCCTTCCCCTCCTCTGTGATATTGTCGAAAGCAACTTCAACAGAATAGCGAGGTTTGAGAATTTTCAACATTGACATGTTCCTACTGACCCCCACTCCCTTTCGAGAGGTACCCTAGGCACATAGCCAAGGCGGAGAGGGGCTTGGGGTGACTTCTGGGACGCCTCATAATTTGTCCCCTTCCCACCCCACCCCACCCCCTCCCATCCCCCAATCGCCCTCCATACCGCCACCCCCAATGGCAGTGGTATCCGGGGCACATAGCCAAGGCGGAGAGGGACCTCAAGCAATGATAAAAAAACAGATCGCACCCCCCCACCTTCAATCCTCCCCCCCCGTCCCTCCCTCGCTGTGGCAGTGGTACCCGGGGCACATAGCCAAGGCGGAGAGGGACCTCAAGGAGCAGGTGCGGCTGCAGCTTCATCCAACCCTCTCATCTCCCCCATTCCCTCCATGCCACCACGGTATCATCCTCTGCATACCGTCACCCCCCGTGGCAGTGGTACCCGGGGCACATAGCCAAGGCGGAGAGGGACCTGAAGGAGCAGCTGCGGTGGGTGGATGTTGTGATTGAGGTGCGCGACGCTAGAATACCGCTCGCCACCACGCACCCGCAGGTGAGACTGTATCTGAGGCACATACTCAAGTGAGTTGGCGTGGTTGCCGCGTGCGGCAGCGCACCACAATCTCATGGTGGCAAGGAGCAGCAGCAGTTGGGCTGGGCGGTGGGTTGGTGCACGTGGAGGTTGAAGTGCGCGACGCCAGGATACCCCTCGCCACCACGCACCCGCAGGTGAGTCCGCTGTTGAGTCGTCGTCACCTACTCAGGTGAGTGAGTCGTCGTGGTTGCCGCATGCGGCAGCTCACCACAATCTCATGGCGGCATGACATGTAGCAGCAGCAGTGGGTGGCTGGTGATTGAGCTGCGGGACGCCAGAATACCCCTTGCCACCACACACCCGCAGGTTCGTGCGTCTGTCTCTGAGCCGCCTTAAAAACGCGCCAGAGCGCAACGCACGCACTTCCAGGTGAATCTGTTGTGGTTGACCGTGCTGCAGCTGCAGCACACCACAGTCTCAGGTGACTCGTAGCAGCAGCAGCAGCCGCTGCGGTGGGTGGGACGTTGCCACGCTGGCCAGGACATGCTGACATGACAACAGCCGGTGACAGTCGGTGTGAGAAGGGCGTGGGCGGAGTAGTATGGGGTTTAGACTCTTATACCCTCTTCTCCCCCTACCCGGGCCTACCCCCATCACGTGATTTTGACTGCAGCTGGACGAGTGGATTGGCGGGTAGTTGAAGGTGCTCGTGCTGAACCGAGAGGGCATGGTGACAGCCGGGGATAGGAGGGCGTGCGTGGAGTACTATGGAGGTTGAACTCCTCATCTCAATCCTCCCTTTTCACCATCACCTGAATTGCAGCTGGACGAGTGGATAGGCGGGAAGCCGAAGGTGCTGGTGTTGAATCGCGAGGACATGGTGACAGCAGGGGACAGAAAGGCGTGGGCGGAGTACTTTGGGGGACAGCAGGATGTTGCTGGCTTTTGCTTCACTGATGGGCAGCATGGGTCGGTATGTGGCATGGGTCGTGCATGGGTCGGTATGTGCCATGGGTTGTGCATGGGCCGGTATGTGCCATGGCATGGCATGGCATGGCATGGCATGGCATGGCATGGCATGGCATGGCATGGCATGGCATGGCATGGCATGGCATGGCACGGATGACAGGGCATAGGAGAAAAGCAGTCATGATTGCACATCGCGAAACCTGGTTGTCAGACCAGCTGCTGCAGTAGATTGATATTGAGCGCTAAATCCCTGTGCACTCTTCAAGCCAATCAATCACCCACCCACAGCCGTCCCGCTCTCGTCTGCCACCTGAACGCTGCCTTTCTCCCTAGTTAGCTCTTGAGAATTTCTTAAAATGATAAAATTATATAACTTTTTGTTTTTTTTAATGAACCAGGTGGGCCGTTATGGCGTCTACTCCCCCTCCCCCACCTCATCCCAGGCGGTAGTCTTCCCCTTTCCCCTCATTTCAGAATTACTCTCTCTCCCCTCCTCTCCATTCCCGTTATGCATCCTTGCCCTCTCTCCCTTCCGCACCCCCTGCAGGGCATTCTGAAGCTCACTCGCCAGGCCATGAGCGTCAGCAAGGCCATCAACACTCGCAGAAGAGACAAAGGGCTCCGCCCGCGGGCGGTAAGGCTTGTCGTGTCTGTCTCACAGCTCCTGTGATGGCACCGCCATTCCTTTTGAGAAGAGCATTGGATCAGCACCCTTTTGATGAAGAGCATTGGATCAGCACCCTTTTGATGAAGAGCATTGGATCAGCACCCTTTTGATGATGAGCATTGGATCAGTGAGCAGTGTTCTATGTGTGTTCAAGTCAACACCCTTGATGCTATCATCACTGCTTCCTCAATGCTTCAAGTCGTTCCTAGAGGGTTTCTGTTCCTAAGCAAGGGCAATTCAGCTGTACATTCAACCACTCCCCTCCATTTTCCTCCCTCATCCGTTCCCTCTTCCTTCCTCGTCCCTTCCTTCATCCTCCCTCGCCCCCGCACTCTTCCGCCCTGCATCAGGTGCGAGCAGCGTTGGTGAGTGAGTCACCCGTCATTAACCGCCTGCTCACTCACTCCCTTCACTCTCTCTCTTCACCCCCCCCCATCATCCTCTCTCCCTACATGCTGCTCCCTCCCTGCAACAGGTGCGGACAGCAGTGGTGGGGTTCCCCAACGTGGGCAAGTCAGCAGTCATCAGCCGTCTGCTCAACCGCTCCCCCTGTCCTCCACGTCTCCTCCCCCACTTCCGCCCTCTGCCCATCCCTGGTCTCCTGTCCTTGCCCTTCCCATCAGGTGCGGGCGGCGGTGGTGGGGTTCCCCAACGTGGGCAAGTCAGCAGTCATC